ACACACGAATGCGTATTATACGCGAATAAATAAGTGTTGTGTACATTGATCAATCGGAAGGGGTGCTAATAGGTATTGTTCACAAGCCAATATATTAGCAAATATAGCCGTGGGCGCTTATTAGAGCGGGGCGCTTATTACGTCGAATACGGTATTCAGTATACGAGAGTATTGAAAAAAACCAAGCACATCATGTCAAATTTGGTACATATACTGCATGCACATATCAACAAAACACTATGTGCTGTTACTGGAATTACCAGACACAATGTGATTCTTCTATGTATGGGAACATCTAACTAACGTAGCAATAACACACTACAGGAAGACTAAAACACCTGGGCCCCGTTCCTCAAAGCGATCTTAGCGCTACGATGATCGTTAACCTATGTTAGAGTATGGGACTAACGATCACCTTAGTGCTAAGATCGCTTTGTGGAACGGGGCCCTGGGCCTAGTTGCAAAAAGCGATCTTAGCGCTAAGATGATCGTAACTCCCATGCTTTAACATAGGCTTACAAGAGTCGTAGCGCTAAGATCGCTTTGTGCAAGTGGGCCCTGGTTGTATATTTTGATTCTGATGGCTGTCACTGACCACTGTAGTTCGTATTGCAAGTTACGTGAGATCATTGTCCTGTCCGTCTGACAGCGAATGTAGTACTGATTAATAATATATAACTTTACTTCCCCAAACTAATAAAACAAAACATTAAATGACTGAAATGGGGTTAACATGGACACATTACTATGGCAGTATATTTTAAAAATTCAGTATTTTTAAACAAAGCACTGGAAAACAGATCTTATTTCAGGAAAGATATTTTCAATACTAAATTCAAAGTTCAATATTAAGTTCAGTAATGCTTAACCTTTCCATGATATTAGAATAGGAGTTGCTATAGCAGCTACCAAATTCGACGTAATAAGTGCCCAGGGCGCTCTCAAAATTAGAAATAGGGGGCTCTTATTAGAATATTATTTTGGTGAAAAAAAAAAATAAATTTGAAAGATCGTAAATTTCGTGGTTTATACCGACAGCCTGAAATGTTTATATACGGCAGATACATTTTTCCAGAATTTAATTGCCGATAATATGCATATAACACAGGAGAGCGTATTATACACGAATAAATAAGTCTTGTGTACATTGATCAATCGGAATGGGTGCTAATTGAGATGGTTCACTAGCCAATATATTACCAAATATCGCTGTAGGCACTTATTAGAGCGGGGCGCTTATTACGTTGAATATGTTATTCCCTATAACCATCTTTATCTTTGAGTGGACTGTATCAATATTTAAATTAGAAAATTCAACAAGTAATGAAAATAATGTAACACTAAAAATAAAATGTAATGTTCTTGGTTCTCAGGCACTGCACGCATCATCATAAAGTCTGCTGCACTCTTTGTTTTTATTTCCATTTTCAAAAAGCATTAAAAAAATCCTCATTCTTAAAAACAATGCAATCCAAAATTGCATGAAGTTACTTCCCTTTACATGCGCATTGCTTTACTGAACATCTTGTGTTATGGTCATGGTGGAAATAGGAGTTTGTATGCTTGTTTATGTAGGGAGCCCTTCCCAGGTTGATGGTACAGAACTGTTTATTTGGTTACATTTTAGTTTGAACAAGTAAAAAATAAAAACCCACTGCCCCCCCCCGCACTATATCTTCAAAAGTCATTGCCTGGGAACCAATTCTGTTATTTTTTAAGCCTAACGCATGCATTATGAATGATTTGTTTGTAATCAATAAATCAAAATAATCTAGTGCTGATAATGAACTCCAAGGAAAATATAACCTGTTTTGATTACCTCCTTGAGGACTTAATGCAACAGACATGAGAATTACATAACAATAGGGAATTGTTAATGGAATGTATGACTTTGGAAGGATGAATGCATTTCAATATGCAAGATAGTGGACTTTGAAGTTTAGTTGCACAGCACCAAGTTTAAAAAAAATTTTTTTTCAAAGCTGGCATACAAGAGTTTTATTTGTGTCAATTTCAGAACGAGGGAGTGAGTGATAGCTTAATGCCACATCAGCAGTTTTGCACCTATCCTGCCTTCAGAACAAGCACACACAGGTTACAGCATGCAACATACAATGGTACTTGACTTGTACTGTAATACATTGTAATACTGCTGTACTACATTAGACGCATTTAGTGCCCAGTTAAGGAAGCCCACCTACTTCAGGATGTCTGCTAGTGTTTGTGTGTGGACTGACCACTTTCAGTAATGTATCGGGGTCAATATACCAATATAGCGCTGACAGGAATTGGTGGAGCTGATAATATTGATTTAAAGTCAATTTTATCAAGGACAAACAAGAAGTGAATACATTGTAATGTTACAAGGGTCAGTGCTTATGGTAAAGGTAAATGGGTGTAGCATTGTAACGTTCTTTAAACAATATGACGAAGTCGTGTCATCAATAGACTGTCTCTTCACCTTAGAAATTGACAGAAATACATAAATGCGCTGTTTTTTTTCACTTTTTTAAAATAAGCAAACTAGAAATTGTTCTGTTTTTTCAAGATGTACATTTTATCCGAATATAGTTAAAATATTTTACAAATATAAAAAATATATTAATTGTAATTTTATGACACGTGGTGAGTGATTTCCCCATATGACACTACAGTAAAGTGTGGTAGTTTATAAGTGCGCCCTGTGGGAAAGAATGCACCCAGTATTTGTTCATTTGGACAATTAAATCATCTTATTACATGAAGAAAAAAGATAAATACTCTGAATAAAAACAAGCAGACATCCTTCAATATAAATTCCTAGAGTTCTATAATAAGATAACCCACTGAGATTACTAAAAATGTTGTCTTTGTTGTTTGTTGTGTTCGCATAACGTAATGATTCATTTCAAAGTTTAGCCTTGTTGAAATAAATTGGGACACATCATGTTTAAAAGGCACCGGCCTTTCATAACCTTTCATGTCCTGGCACTTAATAATATTTCAAATATGGTGTATTGTCTTTTCAATGTCATGAAATAAGTATGTTTACAATAAATTTATGAATTTGCTGTTTCCTATCAGTCTATACTGAAACCAGTTGGTTGTGAACTACTGGATATTCATAATGTAATTAGTTGGCAGTGAAATAGTAGCAAAGGTTCTGCTGGTGTTTACAATAGTTCAGAAGTATTAATACTGTTCAGTTTAATCTATCGCAAACGCTATAATCATTGCATGTTTGACATGTGAACCAGCTTTCCCACTTAGCTTTCTAAAAGGGGGACTCTCAGTTCAATTAGCAGTCTCAGTTCGTTAGATAGCTCAAATCGTAATTATTACCCCCATTTTACAAAGACAATGTCAAACACAGCTCAAACAATGCCTACACCTGAACTGTAGTCTGTCTCACAGTCCCTGAACCATATTATTTTCCATTCTGCCCAGCCCTCACTGTCACGCTATAGCACTAAATAAAGTAAGTCTAGATTTTCCACAGGTTCAGATTCTGAGGCTCCCATCTCACTGGGGAACCTTTTCTCACTGGGGAACCTTTTCAATTTAAACAGAGTTGTTTGTTTCTGTCCAAACTATATACTTTCAGAAACCAAGCATCAGATTACTAGAAGGAAGACCCCCTTTAAATCAGTTGAATTGCAAATCTCATCCAAATCAGACCTTTTATTCTGATAAAATACCTTTCTGCGTGAAGATCTGTGGACATCACCATAGGATATTGAATCAAGTGAACCCTGACCAAACTTTGAACTCCAATCTGTATGAAGGAGGCGTGAGTTTTTGAGCCAATCAAATGTCAGCTTTGGAAAACAATTCAGCTATATTTCTTTACCTCCTCAAGTAGAAGAATATAACCGCCACAGAACACAAATATGCTCCCGATAGTACACCCTTTGGTTGTAGATTCCATGGCACTAAAAAACGACAGGATGAATAAAATATCTACAGCAATTTAATAGTCCAGCTTTACTTTTTTGCATTCAGAACTTCCAAATCATATTCATCTTTGACATCAGAGGTCAAATATGCTTGTTTGAATGCTTTGCTCACTCATATTGTCATCTGGAGGTGTCATCAGATCTTCAAACAGATGTACCATATCCGAGTTCAAGATGTGATGTTATTAAGATTGTGCTTATATCATCATATCAGTATTAATAGGCTACCCAGAATAAAGGTTTGACTATCTTTGACCCATCTTTTATTTACATCTTTTTGGTCTACACAAAAAACAGACTTGTTGGATTATTACCAGTTGCTAAAATATAACAAACTCAAACAACTTTCATAAAACAACCCAGAATAAAAACAAGAAATGTAAGAGCAAATCTGCACCAGATATTGCAAACATTTGAATAGCACTTAGTCATAATAAATAAGTTTTCTAAGGCCAGATCAAATTATTTACTTGTGTTACGATCAAATCTTTTACCAAACTGCAAAAGAAAACACCACAATTTATATTCCTGCTGAATAAATAACTAACACAATTTGCCCAGATGTTGTATTTCAAGCTATGGAGGCTAATCTAAATTTGTTTCATTGTTGAATCTTATATGTAAGCCTGATAGCCATTGATTAATTCTCTACAAACAACCAATCATTGTTTGTTTCCTGAGCCCATTGCAGAAATTCTCCTTCTGGCAGTGGACCAAGAGAACGAAAATCAAGATGGCTTTACACATTTTGAAAGTTCTATTTGCCATTTCTTCTTTAAGAGTGAAAATTGTGAAAGGTTTTCCCACCTTGTCAATGAGTATAATTGTTATGACTGTCCTGCACAGTACCCTTGTTGGAATAAAAATAGTTTGAATGTCTGAAATAAGACACAAAGCATCTTTTATAAAATTTAAAAATTTGATAGAAAACAATTCAAAGAATAACTGCATTTTTTAAAAAGATTGCTTCCCTTATAATGATCCTGGCTAGAATCAGTCTTCAGCAACCCATGCTTGCAGTGAAAGGTGACTATGCTTGCCGTATGAGGCAACTAACGGGATTGGTTGATGTATGTCATCGTATCACAAATGCTAATGAAGTCAATCACTGGATTGTCTGGTCCAGATGCATTTATTTACAGACCACCATCAAATAGGTGAAATATTGCTGAGTGTGGTGTTGAACCAAAAAAATCTAGACTGTTTCCCATGAGCATTTGAACAAATTCCTTTTTTCTTTCTGCTTTTTACCTGTGCAACTAGACATTTAAAAACCTATTTCCTGTAAAACAAGTAATCAAAATGGTCTGGCCTATGGTAAATAAAATAATCCTCCAAATGGACACACCTAATCTAATGTAAACTGTACTATCTACAAAGAAACAAGCTTGTTAAAACCAAACTGTATACCAGCTGGCAGTGCATGAATGTGTACACTTAACAGGATAAATATATAGTACGCATGTAACTGTTCATTAAAAACACTATTGATGGGAATAGCCTCGACAAAAAATATGAAACTTCAACATGATCATATGAATGGTGACTCTACATAAAACATTGGAATATGTAGTTCCAGCAGCACCAAAATGCGTGCAAAAACAGGTATGAATGTCTCAACAACGTTCTGGTTATAGTAGTGTATGTTGTGGTGTAATCCCCAAATAATCTACATCAATCACAAAAAAACTCACCAAAAACTCATTCACAATCATCCAATCAAAATGGAATAAGAATATCAATTTCGTCCAATGAAATTGAAACTGGTTTCATGGCTTCGTCCAATCAAATGGCAGTGGTCGTAGCTGAGATCACAGATTGGCTAATACCAAAGATATTCAGGAAGGTAGTCTGAAAAAAGCCCATTAATTGAATGACATGATCATCACATAATTAATTTGGATTGCCTAAATACACCTGCAGCAAATGAAAGAATGGTTAATGTTACATGCATGCATTCTACATGCTTTGGGGATCTGGCCCGAAACATTTGTCCTATCAGTGCAAGCAAGGGTGGCCTGTGGTCTAATGATTACTTCCCTTAGATGTGCCAGGATATCCTACCTATAATAAATGACCAGTCCCGAATTAATGTTCAAATCTATAACTTTTTCATTTAAAAAATAAATAGAACCATTTTATGTCCATGCATCACACACACACACACACACACACACACACACACACAATATAGTTGTGATGATAAATTTTGCCACCCCCCCCAATCTCTCCCCCCACCACTCTCCCCAAACCTAATAAATGAGCAGTCCCAAAATAGAATAATCTTATATACAATCACTCACTCACTCACTCACTCACTCACTCACTCCACTCTCTCCTCTACCTATTTCTTTCTCTTCCAGCAGTCCGGATGAAGTTGTTTCTGCTCTTTTGCCAAAGCTTCTGATTTTTCCTTGAATTTCTTTTTATCCTCAGGGGTTAGCTTCTTCCATTCATCTCCTAGCAACACACTGATTGCTCTGAAACATTCAAACATGTTAATAAACTAAACAATGTATAAAAGTCAGTTTTCCTCTACTGGCTACTGATGCACGAATACGGTGTTAGCGTTGGGCGTCTCAACGTGCGTGATTCCCGTGCAGCCTTTCGAGTTGAGTTGATTGGTTCAACTGTGTCATATGGCCCTGTGACGCAGGGGTAGCATTATGCAGATGGCTGTTTCAATGAATGCTTGTTCCACCCGTGACGAACAGGTCTTGTTGTTGATGAAATATAGTGATAGCTAAATAGTCCGATAGTTTTTCAGATATTGTAGTAAACGTTGGTACCTTAAATTAACTTCCAGACTATACCTTGCCTTGTCATGCCACATTGTTTTTATTTATATTATTTTCCCCCTTCTGAACTGAATTTTTTCAGGAAAAATCTGTACACCAGCAAAAAAACGTTAAACGCCTGAAGGAATCTAGAGCATTCTGTGCCAGTGACTTTTAAATCTACAAGCCCAAACATGGCTCTTAACATCATTTTCCGTAGATTCTAGTGTTACTATATAGACATAAGGTGGAGCTTACAAGACCAAACAGATTTTTACCACACACAGTCTTTGACCTCGTGACTAAAGATGCAAACTGACAATGCAGTGGTGTTGACTGGGGATCAGACTTTCACTAACCAGGTTTGCTTACATACCTGGAATATTACCCACTGTAGCATTAAAAAGATTCTACCATGACATTGAAGAATGCTTGATTCTGATTCGTTAAAATGAGATAAAGCGCTCGGTTCAGAATAAGAGCTATTGACTCTGTAGTGAGATGACCTGAAATTTCAAAACACAGGAGGTTTATCACCTAATTTAATCACTCATTTCACTAGTTTGTCCTCATAATGGAGATATACCCTTTTCCCACAAAAAATAAATAAATGAAAAATGTTCATCCATATATACTAGCCACATAAAGAAACTGTGCACGGAGAAAATATAGATATAAGGGCACACCGTCCATATATGAAAGATAGGTTTGAACACAGCAATTATTGGAGACATTTAAACGCTCATGCACGTGCCATGCGATATGATGTCATTGATGGGGGCCTATGGACGTGTTACTGCACGTGCATCCTGTGCAGCTGTACACAGCATGTGCAACTCAAACTTCGCTGTCACTTTGGAAAGCATGATCTGTGGTCATTCAAAAATTCAAAACTTCTCAGGCGCAGACACAAGCATATCACAAGCAAATCATGCCAAGATTGACAGCTGCACAGCGTCATGAAGCCATTGGAATGATCCGAGCGGGAATGAGGCAACAACAGGTGGCAACACATTTCCAATGCCATCGTAACACGATATCGGCATTGGTGAGGCGTTATCAGAACACAAATAACGTTGCCGACCACCCACGTTCAGGACGTCCCCGAGTAACGACGCCAAGACAGGACAGATGGATTCGAGTTACACATCTCCGACACAGGTTCCAAACGGCAGTAACGACGTCCCAGACAATTCTTGGACTGCGCCGTATCCATCCCAACACTGTCAGGAATCGTTTACGTCAGTACGGGATTCGACCACGACGCCCTGCCATACGTCCCATCCTGACACACCGTCATCGAGTCAACCGTCTAAGATGGTGTCGAAATCATGTTCGCCAACCTTGAATATGGTGGAGAAATGTTGTCTTTAAAGATGAATCGAGGTTCAACATTTCCCACAGTGACGGGCGCCAACGTGTCTACCGGTGTTTGGGAGAACGTTATGCACGCAACTGTATTGTGGAGAGGAATCGTTTTGGAGGTGGCTCTGTGATGATTTGGGGTGGGATAACAGCACGGCACCGAACCCCTTTGGTGGTTGTTCAGGGCAATCTCACCGGTGTTGGCTACAGAGATCAGATTCTGAGGCCTGTGGTCATTCCTTTCCTGCAACGTCATGGCCCGGGATTGACATTTTAACAGGACAACGCTCGTCCTCACACGGCTAGGGTAGCAATGGATTACCTTCACCATAACAATGTCATGTTACTGCCATGGCCTGCAATTTCTCCAGATCTCTCCCCAATAGAGCATGTGTGGGATGAAATGGAGCGCCGTCTGCGTCGTCTTCCACATCCTCCAGATAACGTCCGTGACTTGGCACAGGATTTGAGGAGGATATGGCAGGCCATTCCCCAGGCCTTCCATGCCGATTTGGTGGACTCCATGCGTCACCGATGCACTGCTGTGATTCACGCACAGGGTGGTCATACCCGTTATTGACTTTGTGACTTTGTCGTTTGACCCCCTACTCCATTTTGATCTTCTGACGTCATCGTAACAGATGTTGTTCAGGTCCCGTTGACATTTTCTTATTGTCCGATCATTCAGCTGCTACAGCGTCTGCATCATTTTGTTCTTGCTGTGTTGTATTTCAATCCAGAATATATTTTCTCCGTGCACGGTTTCTTTATGTGGCTAGTATATATAAAATGTGAATTGTGGGACATGTTTTTTAATAAACATTACAAAGTATCTTGTTTGTTTGTTTGCTTTTTGTTGTTTAACGCCTCACTCCGCAATATTCCAGTTATATAACCGTGGTCTTCAAATAATCGAGTCTGGACCAGATAATCCAGTGATTGACATCATGAGCATCGATCCAAGCAATTGGGATACGATGACACGCATCAACCAAGTCAGCGAGTCTAACCACCCGATCACGTTAGTCGCCTCTTACGACAAGCAAAGTCACCTTTTACGGCAAGCATAGGTTGCTGAAGACCTATTCTGACCCCAATCTTCACAGGTCCATTTTAATTTTAACAACCTAGACAAGTTGGGTGAACTAACAGATGCCGGGCTGGTATTCCTGTCATGTTGCAGGACCATGGAAAGTACACACAAGGAACACACATGGTGATTTTCCTCCTCTGCAGGTACATGTAATGTCCAGATAGCTTGACTATGACCTGTTTAGTATTAGCAATCATGTGACATCATCACTTAATTTGTACGAGCCTTTTGCCAACCTTGCCCCTTTCCACAACTGAAGAAGTATTTATGTTCCACAGAAAAGGACTACCCAGGTATAATGTGCAAGTAGTGTACAAGCTTCACTTAGACCAACATTTAGTCTCAGAAATCAACTTATCTTATTTAAAAATACATGTCTACAAAATATTAAGAAAATCCAAATGGAGCCCAGAAGAATGCATAATTTCAGAGGCAATCTAGACTTGCCAAATCATTCTAGACATGAGCTGAATTCATTTTTTAATTTATTCTCTTTTATATGGTCTGGGACACAGACAAGCCTCATTATCAGTCGAATGTACCTTGGGGATATAATTATGTAAGGGCAGGGATGAAAAAGGGTGTGTGCGTGCATGCCTGCGTGTGTGTGTTTGTGTGTGTTCTTATGTGAGCGTTTTCAGTATTAGAAAATGTCCATATCTTAGAAAATCATGTGTCAGGCTTAGTGGTCAGGATGATTGTATGTCATACCACGATGAAGTGGGTCATTGCTCATAATATCGATCACTGGATTGCCTTAAGACTAACATTTAGTCCAAGAAATATCGTATTCAAAAATATATGTCAACGAAATAAAAATATGTAACCGAAATGGAGCCCATATTAATCAAGGCCTAGAACTGAGGTAATCTAGACTTGCCAAATCTTGAGCTACATTCATTTGTAATTGATTCTCTTGTCTGGGAGACTTGTTTAAAAGTGGCCATCATACAGGTGGCTGAGTGCAAAGTAACACAAGAAACTAATGACATTAACCAATCAGGGATTTGACACTTGGTGTAAAACACCATACCAATACATTGCATATACAAGTCAATTTATCATGTTTCTCCTCTACAAGTCTTCTACAATTTCTCAGGAGTAATAGAGAGAGTTTGGTTTAGCGGCTCCTTGAAAAGTATCCAAAGACCCAAAGAGATGTAGCTCCAAGACATTTACCATTTTGGGGACATCATTAAAATAGGTTCCTGGCATGCCTAAGGGCTACAACTCTGCACAGTTAATAGATGCACCTTAGACAACTGGGCCATCCAAATTTTAGGAATCCACATGACATAGGTGGATCCAGAGGGGGGCCCAGGGGTCCGGACCCCTCCTTTTGAAAACCAAATGTAGTATGTTGTAGGCAGTAAAATTGAGTGAGAGAGGATTTTGATATTTCCTTTTAGAGATGCTGTATCTGCCCTTGTATGAATATGTTTTAAAGCATCATCCTCACCTGTTATCTTTGCCAGGGTACTTCTGTGTGTACTGAATTCTGTTTTCTTTGGCAAACAACATGAATGCATTCATTGGTCTCTTGGCCTTGGGCAGATCAAACTTAAAGGTGTCCTCCTTAGATGGGGAGTCGGGGGACGAGAGTGACTGGCGCTCCTGGTTCTTCTTTTGCTGCAAGAGTGGAGTTAGTGAGTGAGTATTTAATTCTATTCAGGTCACAACAATTTGATTTTCTTGTCATTTTCTTTAAAAAAAGAAAACATTTGTGTAGTGATTATCTGATTTCTAAAATTGAAATATAAATCAATAATATTCTGACCAAAAAAAATCAATAATATACTGACCAAAAAAATCAAAAATATTCTGACAACAAAAAATCAATAATATTCTGATAACATAAAATCAACACAATTCTGATAACTTAGCTGAAATTATAGAAAATGCTCAATCTTCAAATGAAAACTATATGCTTTCCAAACAAAAGCTATGTAGAAACTAATACTCTGTATTCTCATTATGGGTGTAAAAAATAGAACAAAAAATGAATTTGAAGTAACTTTCTAAAAAAATGTGATGAATACCTGGAAATTTCATGCATAACTTTTCTATAAAGCTGATTGAGAACAAATCTGTTTATTTTATTTAGCCTTAAATTTAAAATGCACGCAAAACAGAACCCTTTACAAAGCTATGTTTTCTCACTCTTTTGAACTACCACAACAAATCATAAGCCATCCAGTCAGTTTGAAGTAACCTACTTGTGCCATAGAGCTCAGAGCCATCACGGCAGTGGAGTCAAGGGCAGACAACTGGTAACTGAAAACACAAGCAGTCAAGACATTGCACAGCTGGCAGTGAATCTGACATGTGGCCATATCATGTGTCATTGCAACCCACGGCGGATCGCATACACCTTAAGTGTCTGTCTGTGTCATTCCTCCGTGTGTTATTCCCACTCTCGGGATGAATAATATGATTTAACTATGTATCACCATTGAACTATAACAACATATATGATCCATATACTCACTCCAGTTGTCATGCACTGACCAAGGGTAACAAATACTTATGATATATCATTCAATTGCCATGCACTGGACAACGATAACATATAGACCACATGTACTCTAACAGTCATGCACAGAGCAGTGATAGCACTACCGTATTCGACGTAATAAGCGCCCCGCTCTAATAAGCGCCCATGGAGATATTTGCTGATATATTGGCTGGTGATATTATAATACACACTCGTGTGTTATATGCACCCTTAATTATGGGCAATAAAATTCTGGGGAAATATATATGTCGTACATAAACATTTCAGGCTGTCACCATGAACCACGAAATTTATCTTTCATCTCTGTCTTTTTTCCACCAAAATAATATTCTAATAACAGCCCCCTATTTCTAATTTTGAGAGCGCCCTGGGCGCTTATTACGTCGAATACAGTGTTAAGATGTGTTTGTTTGTTGTTTAACGCCGCACTCAGCAATATTCCAGCTATATGACGGCGGTCTGTAATTAATCGAGTCTGGACCAGACAATCCAGTGATTGACACCACGACCATCGATCTACACAATTGGGATACGATTACATGCATCAACCAAGTCAGCGATCCTGACCACCCGATCCCGTTAGTCGCCTCTTACAGGCATGGGTTGCAGAAGACCTATTCTCTGCCCGATCTTCACGGTCAATACAGTAAGAGTATAATACATACACCATGGACACCAAAATGATCAGCCATTAAGATACGAGCGTCTATTGTGAAATCCTACATTACCTCCCATAGAACGTTGCGTCTGGGTGTGTTGGGGGCAGACACAGGTCCTGTTCTGCCAGCTCCTGGCAGGGTATGCCGAACTCTGTGACAGTCTTCTGGGGAGCGCACGACGACCAGCCTGAATTGGGAGAGTGAGTGAGTATTGTTTTACGCAGCTTTAGTAAGATTCCAGCAATATCACGGCAGGGGTCATCAGAAATGGGCTTCACACATTGTTACCATGTAATCGAACCGAGCCTTCGTCGTGACGAGCGTACAAAGCTACCCCACCGCCCCATGAAGGAGTGACGTCATCGGTACATGATGACTTGATGTTACAGACCGGAAGTAGTCACAATATATTACTATAGGTGTTAGGCTTGTGCATAAGTCATGTCGGCGAAGTGTCCGGTTAATATGTTTCGGTGAAATAAGCTTTGGTAGGACAGGTTTTCCAGAATCCAGATCATATACGACAGGACGTCTTTGCACTTTGTATAGTTTGTTTGTTTGTTGTTTAACGCCGCACTCAGCAATATTCCAGCTATATGACGGCGGTCTGTAATTAATCGAGTCCGGACGAGACAATCCAGTGATTAATATCATGAGCATCGGTCCACGCAATTGGGATCGATGACATGCATCAACCAAGTCAGCGAGCCTGACCACCCGATCCCGCTAGTCGCCTTTTACAACAAGCATAGTCGCCTTTTACGGCAAGCATGGGTTGCTGAAGACCTATTCTACCCCGGATCTTCATGGGTCCACTTTATATAGGCTATCATGACATTTGACTTAGGGAGAGTCAAATCCAAATCCTACTTCGCAATGACGTTAGTAGTTTTGCTGCAGAGCTTTCGAGTGTTTCACGTTGACTGCTTTAGACTCTGGTTATAAACCCACGGTGGACCTGTCCTTACCTTTTACATAATCAATCTAATACGATTGTTATGTCTATACTTGACATGTATATCCCCTGAAGAAAATTGATTTTGGAAAGCATATTGCGGACGGGAAACGTGAAACATCCAAAACCCTTACTAAAAGAATGAAGATTTTATCCGACATCAATCTTTTAAACGTCTCTCTGACAGAAGTTTTAAGGGAGATCTGGGCCGACTTTCACATTGCGAACTTAGCAAGTCGGCCCAGGGTGCCGTTGCGCAAAGCTATCTTAGCGCTACTTAAGGTGATCGTAATTCCCATACCTTAACATAGACTTTCGACAGTCGTCGCCCTAAAGTTGTTTTGTACAACGGCACTCCGGTCTAAAGGAACCATTAACCCTGAGAATTTACAGCAGAAAAATGATTACCCTTGTCTTTGACAAAGAAGGGATGGTCTTGAGCGCACTGTGCCACAAGGTGGATGGAGTCGGCGTCTCCCTGAACGGTGTGAGTCATGAAGTACAGGTCTAACTTGCCCGTGTCCCCGAGGTCAGTGGTCTCCTTCTTCGTCAGGAGGAAGCCGACGGGCCCACTGCTGCAACAGCACGACGGGTGTTGGTGCTTGTTTGTTTGTTGTTTAACGCCAAATTCAGCAACATTCCTGCTATATGCTGGCGGTCTGTATGTAATCGAGTCTGGACCAGACAATCCAGTGATTGACATCATGAGCATCGATCCACGCAATTTGGATACAATGACATTCACCAACCAAGTCAGTGAGCCTGACCACCCGATCCCGTTAGTCGCCTCTTACGACAATATTAACAGGTGCTGGTCATATATTGGGTAACGCATCACACAAATTGATAACATTATATTTTGCTAACCTAACGTGTTAATCAAACCGCCAGGTGGCGATTCGGGGTTAGGAAAGGTCCAGCAACCTATGCTGGTCGTAATCTCTCAGATTATGGTTTGGCCGTTCCGGTGGTTGGTTCAAGTTGGACGATGTTCATATTGTCTATCATTTGTTTACAGGCCATCGGCATATAGCTGGAATATTGCTGAGTGCGCCGTAAAACAACAAATATACATTATAATCAAACAGAAACTGCCTTTTTATAATGGCGATGGCCATAACTCTTCATTAGTGTACTTATGAGAGCAATGGTATTCTCGAAGTACCTTGAACTAAAGCTCTCGTAATATGGTCACTGTATACCAATAAGGGCTACGGGTTTAGGGGCTTTATGCTGCCATGTTTTCAGAACTGTTAGATTACGTTTACCCATAATGTGAAAATGTATGTCATTTGGATCTTTAGACAATCGTATTAAAGGACATGAACGAAAATGGCCCGACATCCTGGGCTGTCGTCTGCTCGCATGTCGTCTGTCCGATGTAATTTTTAAGGTTGAAATTGTACGAGACTTACAAGAAATGTAATGTCGTGTGTCAGTTCTTATTTCTGAGGTGGAAAATGTGCAAGACTTACAATATGTGTGATTTCTTCTGCTCGGCCGACTGTGTGACTTCACGGAGAGACTGATGGTCCGACAGTTCCTCGGCAGAGTGCCAGTCGTTAAACAATGGCGGAACAGAGGACGACAGGAACTTAATGATGGACCCTGAAATAACACAAACGTTTGAAGACAAATGGGTTTAACGTTGCGTCCAAAATTATTGCACTCACACAGTGACGTACATGCACGTGTGAGTGTGTGTGTGTGTGTGTGTGTGTGTAGCTGCTTGTGCTGGTCTGGACTGATAGCGATTTATAGTGCTAGCTCACTGAGATACCATGCCGCAGTTTAACATGAATACTCCACTCAGACACAGTATACTGACTCCCAGCCGACCAGTCCTTGTTTAAGCCCCTTAATGCCGAGCGCCAGACAGGAAAACAACAAGTACCATCTTTTAAGGTCTTTCGGTATGACGCGGCCAGGGATCGAACCCCGGACCTTCCGCTCTACCACTAGTCTGAAGACAAATGAGCTTGTTTTCATATTATTTACTTCACAAACACAATCGCCCTTACCGAATCTAATGCGGCCCCAAAACACATATTTCGGAATAGAAGATTTCCAATAAATTGTTATTTAAAGGAATCTACAAAAATCATATATCCAATGCAAAACTCGATGCAACAATACCTTGTTAAAAATCAAAATATACATCCATATATAGTTACACTTGGCACATCCAGCAAGGGAACAGTGTTCGCCTTATATTGACAAGAAGACCTAGGTGAATACATAAAACCCAACTAATCTTCTATTTCTTCATCATGATTCCAAAACTGATTCCATGAATAGTTTGGTGTTGGTGGTTGTTTTCTGATCAGTAAAAGGCTAGTACTTTACATATGACATCGTTACCCGAATAACGATCTTACCCAAACTTAATGTCTGGACAAAATGTGTGTGGGCAAAACAACCTCTTATCTTTAAAACATCGGGAGGAAACGAACAAGGTCGAAACTCAATATCCTGTCTTTGACATATCATTATTTATTATCCCAAGAGATAATACGATATTAATCGTACAGAATATGCCAAAGAACGTCAGAACAAACAATCTATCTTCCTCATCCCGATGTCCGGGACACATACGATCAACAATGGATATTTCGTTGAAGAATAATTCTCAAAGAATGAAACGTTTACATGAAGTCCAAATTTTAAAGTTTCGATCATAATTGGCAGAGAAACGTCACGGGCCTGTATTCGGCGTCAATGTGCGTATGTCACCGTGTATGCTCGTTTTCATGTTGCATGCTGTAATGCATCTCATACAATAGTATGACAGTTCCGAAACTGAAGAAAATAGTCGGTGCTCAGAGTCACTGATCCCGGGGTACCTTTCTGTATTCTGTTTCTGACTAGGGTACATTTCTGTATACAGAAACGTACCTGGTGTACTTGTCTGGAGTACCCGTGCCGACACAGACACCTTCAGCCCAACGCTGGGTTAGCTATAAATTGGCTTCATAACGTTGTGTAGGTGGTCAGGCTATCGTATGTCATCGTATCCCAATTGCGTGGATCGATGCTCATGAGTGAGTGAGTTGGGCTTAACGCCGCTTTTAACAATATCCCAGTTATATCGCGGCGTGTCAGCTTAATGTGGGAGGAAAGCCCGAAGTGATGCAGGTCTCAGACATTTACCACTTCGGTGAAACCCACGAGCACGGGTATGGTGCTGACAAACCTAGAAACATAATAGGGGCGAACCGGGATTCGAACCCACAATCATAGTCGATGCTCATGATGCATGATGTCAATGACTGATTTGTCTGGCCCAGACTCGATTGTTTTACAGACCGCCGTTATATAACTGGAAAATTGCTGAGTGTGGCGTTAAACAACAAACAATACAATACATTATAACGTTTTGAATGTTATTTATTCATAAACCTTTCCGTATGTCCATTAATGTGTGTGTGTGTGTGTGGTCCGAGTGTCATAACCCGAGTCGCGATAGAGCGAGGTGCACGTGCCAAAGGCTCGGGAACACATTTCACGTGCATCACGCATGGTGACTCACACAGTGCTCTCACAGCACAGAAACCTTGAATATTTTTAAAGTACGGTTATCAAAACAATGTTGTGTCAACGTTTTAGGTGCAAGGGTTCTTTGAATGAATGTTTGCCGTGATTTAAACAGGTTAGCCCAAGGTTTAAAATCAATCGTTGAAATGGTCAGTTAAACCCCTCGGCGCTCCGAGCAAACTGCTCCGGTTTAAATGTCCATTTCAACAAGTAGTATAAAAACGGATCCGAGTGGTCTAACCTATACTTAAAATGTCACCGCAAGTAGTGAGTGAGTGAGTTAAAATCTAACGTCGCATCGGCATTATTTCAGCTATATAGCGACGAGACCAAGTTAATATATTTACAATTTAGTTTTTTATGCAAAGTTTTATTTAAAAACAAGTTGTGAAACATATTTGAGCATACTATATATAGAAACAATTTATGAAACATATTTGAACATAACAATATTATATATACAGTTTTAAAACACGGGCTATAGGCCACCAATAACCAAAGCTAGTCCACCTCGCTGGGGATCATGGGGACTTACAGTACCTCGGCATCCTGCATGATACCCCAGCAGGAATTACATCATCACCTTAGCTACTGGTGTTTGTGCACAATACTAGCCAATATTAAAAAATACTCAGCAAAGAGTTGGCTTAAAACACTGGTTGATGATAGTTACATCGAGTATGATAGGATTGCGTGTTACACAGGGGGACAACCTCCTGGACAGAGCCTTCAATAATGTCAGTTGATAATAGCATCATGCCATATGTAAAAACAAGCATTTATTTATTCACATACATATTTAAAATGTATTTTACAGACCAATTTATTTCAAATAGCTGATAAGAAAATGCCCGCTGACACGGGAAATGAGATCTTTCAGATTTTCACTTTGATCACTGCAAGTAATTCTATGTTATCTTTCCCCGGCATTGTTTGTGTCATTTGAACCTTTACTGACTTTTTGCAAACTGTATTCAGCAGCTGTTTACTTCTAGCACAGAGTGACGAGTAAAACTTACTACAAGCTTAGTAATTATACTTCAGCAGGTATGATAAAATTAGTAGAATTCTTAAACTACTTAAAGTAGTAGTTCTTTGAAAGAATAATCTCTACTAACTGATTAGTAAATTGTACCAATCATGGTAGTCACCTACTAGTCTAATTAGCAAACATTTATTTAATGGCTAGTAAAGTCTACTACTTTGGTGAGTGGACTGTGAAATTCACAAGCGAAGTTAGTAAACTATACAACTATTTCTGCTGTCGGCATAGGTGTGGAATCGGTGGTCAAGACTAATTAATATCAGTCCATGAACTCATTGACTGATTTCCTTTAACGAGATCTTACAACAAATACCTTACCCCAAATGTGGATTACACCGCCACAGCACAACAATTTAGTCTCGCCTACACTTGCTAAGTGAGGTAGCATTTACAAAGATGCAGACATCCCCATGTCATTAATTCCTTCCATCGAAATCTTTCCATAAAAACCTTTTCCCCCAACAGCTGATTCCATACCAAATAAAATATTACCTTTCTTATTTTATTTGTTTGTTTGCTTGTTGTTTAACGCCGCACTCCGCAATATTCCAGCCATATGGCGGTCTGTAAATAATCGAGTCTGGACCAGACAAACCAGTGGTTGACATCATGAGCATCGATCCACACATTTGGGATCAAAGACATGCATCAACCAATTCAGCGAGTCTGACCACCCGATCCCGTTAGTCGCCTCTTAGTCGCCTGTTACGAAAAGCATAGGTTGCTGAAGACCTTTTCTAACCCTGATCTTCACGGGCCCTTTCTTATTTTAACAAGCTAGACAAGCTTCGTGAACTAACAGATGCAGGACTGGTATTCCTGTCATGTTGCAGGACCGTAGTCGACGGTGAACTCACCCCTCATGAAGCACTGCCACACTGCAGTAGGCCAGGGGTGAGACCACAGAGCCTCTGAGGACTCCGTGTCCTTGGGGGATGACGGGAAGGGGGAAGATGACGTCACCTTGGGGTCACTCTCCAGACTAACGCTGTCAATAAATATGTCTTGATATTAATGACCAGTATTTGAGTTGATATCATACAAGATTAAATATTTTATTTACAATTTACATCACTCAGGACAACTGAACATGCCTATGGTATAGTTTCACCAATGCGCAGTACTCTGAGTGTGTGAGTGAGTGAGTGTCACGCCGATTGTAGCAATATTCCAGCAATATCTCGTCGGGGACACCAGAAATGACGTTCACGCATTATACCCGTGTGGGGAATCGAACCCGGGTATTCGGCGTGACGAGGGAACGCTTTAACCACTAGGCTCCCCGACTGCACATCGCCCTACTCTTTAGAAGGTATCAGTTTCGTTAGAAATTATCTTTAGACTTGAGTGAGATATGTTTTACGCCGCCTTGAACAGTATTTTAGAATATCGCGGCGTGTCAGATTGATGAGGGAGAAAAGCCCTAAGTGATGTAGGCCTTAGGCGTTTACTACTTTGGTGAAACCCACGGGTATGGTGTTATAAATGGCAGAAGCAGCATGCTCTGCACAAGGTTAAAGAATGCTGTAATGTTGACTATTGCTTTACTGCCTTCCTTGTTTTACTGCCTCCTACATGCAAAGCCCTTACCTAGGTGAAGCAACAGGTTTAGATGTGTTCTCGGGCTTGATTGCCCGTCCACATATACAGGCCTCAGGGCATTCCAGGTCTAAGGTCCGCACCACGGGACCACTGAAACAGCAGACATGATTTTTGTTTGTTTGTTTGTTGTTTAACGCCGAACTCAGCAATATTCCAGCTTTTTGACGGCAGGCTGTAAATAATCGAGTCTGGACCAGACGATCCAATGATTGACATCATGAGCATCGATCCACGCGATTGGGATCGATGACATGTATCAACCAAGTCAGCGAGCCTGACCACCCAATCCTGTTAGTCGCCTCTTACGACAGGCAAAGTCGCCTTTTACAACAAGCATGGGTTGCTGAAGAACCCGGCAGACATGACGAGGTCACCCCAACCATCTGTCTTCAAAGACCTCCACAATGCAGTAAACGCACTAAATCTACTGGCGCGAGGGTCCTGCTATTCCTGTGTCAACTGACACAACTACGATGGCCAATTCTGATGGAGCATCCGATGGCATCGGTTAACATACTTATTCGGGAGCTGGTTTTGAGGTTCTCCAGCTAAGATGACCATCTGACTAGACTTTATCAGAGGGCACAGGGGCTCTTTGCATTGATAATGTTATTTGGAAACAGTAGCTATGACAGTAAACCCCAGAGCACAGATTTTTACCACAATTTTGAGACCTGATGTTGGGTGGATGATGAGCTAACTCACGCAAGGGAACAAAGCCCTTCACAGGAAGGGCCTATGCATGGGAACCTTATGATATATTTCAGCAAACTTACTTAACGCACCTTGGTAATCTCAACGCACAGGAAACTCGTCACCATTAACAGGCTGTGTCGAGGCCTATATATGATACATGGCAACATAATCTCTCAACTCACCTTGGCTTATCTCAGGGTATATGGGCGCTCTTCCCCAGAGAGTGGCACTGTATCGAGGGTTATATAGCTTATATATGACAGTATATCCTCCCAACTCACCTGGGTTTATCCCAGGGCATAGGGGCGCTCTTCCTCAGCAGGGCTCTATATCGGGGCTTATGTAGCTTATATATGACACTTTCTCAACTCACCTGGGCTTATACTAGGGCATAAGGGTGCTGTTCCTCTGAAGAAGGCTCTGAATCGGGGCTCATGTAGCTTGTATATGACAATAGGCTATCTCAACACACGTGGGCTTATACCAGGGCATAAGGGTGCTATTCCTCTGCAGAAGGCTCTGAATTTGGGCTTATGTAGCTTGAATATGACAATAGGCTATCTCAACTCACGTGGGCTTATTCCAGGGCATAAGGATGCTATTCCCCTGAAGGCTCTGAATCGGGGTTTATGTAGCTTATATATGACAATAGGCTATCTCAACTCACCTCGGCTTATTCCGGGGTATAAGGGTGCTATTCCTCTGAAGAAGACTCTGAATCGGGGTTTATGTAGCTTGTATATGACAATAGGCTATCTCAACTCACGTGGGCTTATTCCAGGGCATAGGGGCGCTCTTCCTCAGCAGGGCTCTGTATCGGGGCTTATGGAGCTTATATATGACAATAGGCTATCTCAACTCACGTGGGTTTATCCCAGGGCATCAGGATGCTCTTCCTCAGCAGGGTTCTGTATCGGGGCTTATGGAGCTTATATATGACAATAGGCTATCTCAACTCACCTGGGCTTATTCCAGGGCATCAGGATGCTCTTCCTCAGCAGGGTTCTGTATCGGGGCTTATGCAGCTTATATATGACAATAGGCTATCTCAACTCACGTGGGTTTATCCCAGGGCATAGGGGCGCTCTTCCTCAGCAGGGCTCTGTATCGGGGCTTATGGAGCTTATATATGACAATAGGCTATCTCAACTCACGTGGGTTTATCCCAGGGCATAGGGGCGCTCTTCCTCAGCAGGGTTCTGTATCGGGGCTTATGGAGCTTATATATGACAATAGGCTATCTCAACTCACGTGGGTTTATCCCAGGGCATAGGGGCGCTCTTCCTCAGAAGGGTTCTGTATCGGGGCTTATGCAGCTTATATATGACAATAGGCTATCTCAACTCACGTGGGTTTATCCCAGGGCATAGGGGCGCTCTTCCTCAGCAGGGTTCTGTATCGGGGCTTATGCAGCTTATATATGACAATAGGCTATCTCAACTCACCTGGGCTTATTCCAGGGCATCAGGATGCTCTTCCTCAGCAGGGCTCTGTATCGGGGCTTATGCAGCTTATATATGACAATAGGCTATCTCAACTCACCTGGGCTTATTCCAGGGCACCAGGATGCTCTTCCTCAGCAGGGTTCTGTATCGGGGCTTATGGAGCTTATATATGACAATAGGCTATCTCAACTCACGTGGGTTTATCCCAGGGCATAGGGGCGCTCTTCCTCAGCAGGGTTCTGTATCGGGGCTTATGGAGCTTATATATGACAATAGGCTATCTCAACTCACGTGGGTTTATCCCAGGGCATCAGGATGCTCTTCCTCAGCAGGGTTCTGTATCGGGGCTTATGCAGCTTATATATGACAATAGGCTATCTCAACTCACGTGGGTTTATCCCAGGGCATAGGGGCGCTCTTCCTCAGCAGGGCTCTGTATCGGGGCTTATGCAGCTTATATATGACAATAGGCTATCTCAACTCACGTGGGTTTATCCCAGGGCATAGGGGCGCTCTTCCTCAGCAGGGTTCTGTATCGGGGCTTATGCAGCTTATATATGACAATAGGCTATCTCAACTCACGTGGGTTTATCCCAGGGCATAGGGGCGCTCTTCCTCAGCAGGGTTCTGTATCGGGGCTTATGGAGCTTATATATGACAATAGGCTATCTCAACTCACGTGGGTTTATCCCAGGGCATAGGGGCGCTCTTCCTCAGCAGGGTTCTGTATCGGGGCTTATGGAGCTTATATATGACAATAGGCTATCTCAACTCACGTGGGTTTATCCCAGGGCATAGGGGCGCTCTTCCTCAGCAGGGTTCTGTATCGGGGCTTATGGAGCTTATATATGACAATAGGCTATCTCAACTCACGTGGGTTTATCCCAGGGCATAGGGGCGCTCTTCCTCAGCAGGGTTCTGTATCGGGGCTTATGCAGCTTATATATGACAATAGGCTATCTCAACTCACGTGGGTTTATCCCAGGGCATAGGGGCGCTCTTCCTCAGCAGGGTTCTGTATCGGGGCTTATGGAGCTTATATATGACAATAGGCTATCTCAACTCACGTGGGTTTATCCCAGGGCATAGGGGCGCTCTTCCTCAGAAGGGCTCTGTATCGGGGCTTATGGAGCTTATATATGACAATAGGCTATCTCAACTCACGTGGGTTTATCCCAGGGCATAGGGGCGCTCTTCCTCAGCAGGGTTCTGTATCGGGGCTTATGCAGCTTATATATGACAATAGGCTATCTCAACTCACGTGGGTTTATCCCAGGGCATAGGGGCGCTCTTCCTCAGCAGGGTTCTGTATCGGGGCTTATGGAGCTTATATATGACAATAGGCTATCTCAACTCACGTGGGTTTATCCCAGGGCATAGGGGCGCTCTTCCTCAGCAGGGCTCTGTATCGGGGCTTATGGAGCTTATATATGACAATAGGCTATCTCAACTCACGTGGGTTTATCCCAGGGCATAGGGGCGCTCTTCCTCAGCAGGGTTCTGTATCGGGGCTTATGGAGCTTATATATGACAATAGGCTATCTCAACTCACGTGGGTTTATCCCAGGGCATAGGGGCGCTCTTCCTCAGCAGGGTTCTGTATCGGGGCTTATGGAGCTTATATATGACAATAGGCTATCTCAACTCACGTGGGTTTATCCCAGGGCATAGGGGCGCTCTTCCTCAGCAGGGCTCTGTATCGGGGCTTATGGAGCTTATATATGACAATAGGCTATCTCAACTCACGTGGGTTTATCCCAGGGCATAGGGGCGCTCTTCCTCAGCAGGGTTCTGTATCGGGGCTTATGGAGCTTATATATGACAATAGGCTATCTCAACTCACGTGGGTTTATCCCAGGGCATAGGGGCGCTCTTCCTCAGAAGGGCTCTGTATCGGGGCTTATGGAGCTTATATATGACAATAGGCTATCTCAACTCACGTGGGTTTATCCCAGGGCATAGGGGCGCTCTTCCTCAGCAGGGTTCTGTATCGGGGCTTATGGAGCTTATATATGACAATAGGCTATCTCAACTCACGTGGGTTTATCCCAGGGCATAGGGGCGCTCTTCCTCAGCAGGGTTCTGTATCGGGGCTTATGGAGCTTATATATGACAATAGGCTATCTCAACTCACGTGGGTTTATCCCAGGGCATAGGGGCGCTCTTCCTCAGCAGGGCTCTGTATCGGGGCTTATGGAGCTTATATATGACAATAGGCTATCTCAACTCACGTGGGTTTATCCCAGGGCATAGGGGCGCTCTTCCTCAGCAGGGTTCTGTATCGGGGCTTATGGAGCTTATATATGACAATAGGCTATCTCAACTCACGTGGGTTTATCCCAGGGCATAGGGGCGCTCTTCCTCAGCAGGGTTCTGTATCGGGGCTTATGGAGCTTATATATGACAATAGGCTATCTCAACTCACGTGGGTTTATCCCAGGGCATAGGGGCGCTCTTCCTCAGCAGGGCTCTGTATCGGGGCTTATGGAGCTTATATATGACAATAGGCTATCTCAACTCACGTGGGTTTATCCCAGGGCATAGGGGCGCTCTTCCTCAGCAGGGTTCTGTATCGGGGCTTATGGAGCTTATATATGACAATAGGCTATCTCAACTCACGTGGGTTTATCCCAGGGCATAGGGGCGCTCTTCCTCAGCAGGGTTCTGTATCGGGGCTTATGGAGCTTATATATGACAATAGGCTATCTCAACTCACGTGGGTTTATCCCAGGGCATAGGGGCGCTCTTCCTCAGAAGGGCTCTGTATCGGGGCTTATGGAGCTTATATATGACAATAGGCTATCTCAACTCACGTGGGTTTATCCCAGGGCATAGGGGCGCTCTTCCTCAGCAGGGCTCTGTATCGGGGCTTATGGAGCTTATATATGACAATAGGCTATCTCAACTCACGTGGGTTTATCCCAGGGCATAGGGGCGCTCTTCCTCAGCAGGGTTCTGTATCGGGGCTTATGGAGCTTATATATGACAATAGGCTATCTCAACTCACGTGGGTTTATCCCAGGGCATAGGGGCGCTCTTCCTCAGCAGGGTTCTGTATCGGGGCTTATGGAGCTTATATATGACAATAGGCTATCTCAACTCACGTGGGTTTATCCCAGGGCATAGGGGCGCTCTTCCTCAGAAGGGTTCTGTATCGGGGCTTATGCAGCTTATATATGACAATAGGCTATCTCAACTCACGTGGGTTTATCCCAGGGCATAGGGGCGCTCTTCCTCAGCAGGGTTCTGTATCGGGGCTTATGGAGCTTATATATGACAATAGGCTATCTCAACTCACGTGGGTTTATCCCAGGGCATAGGGGCGCTCTTCCTCAGAAGGGCTCTGTATCGGGGCTTATGGAGCTTATATATGACAATAGGCTATCTCAACTCACGTGGGTTTATCCCAGGGCATAGGGGCGCTCTTCCTCAGCAGGGTTCTGTATCGGGGCTTATGCAGCTTATATATGACAATAGGCTATCTCAACTCACGTGGGTTTATCCCAGGGCATAGGGGCGCTCTTCCTCAGCAGGGTTCTGTATCGGGGCTTATGGAGCTTATATATGACAATAGGCTATCTCAACTCACGTGGGTTTATCCCAGGGCATAGGGGCGCTCTTCCTCAGAAGGGTTCTGTATCGGGGCTTATGGAGCTTATATATGACAATAGGCTATCTCAACTCACGTGGGTTTATCCCAGGGCATAGGGGCGCTCTTCCTCAGCAGGGTTCTGTATCGGGGCTTATGGAGCTTATATATGACAATAGGCTATCTCAACTCACGTGGGTTTATCCCAGGGCATAGGGGTGCTCTTCCTCAGCAGGGTTCTGTATCGGGGCTTATGGAGCTTATATATGACAATAGGCTATCTCAACTCACGTGGGTTTATCCCAGGGCATAGGGGCGCTCTTCCTCAGCAGGGTTCTGTATCGGGGCTTATGGAGCTTATATATGACAATAGGCTATCTCAACTCACGTGGGTTTATCCCAGGGCATAGGGGCGCTCTTCCTCAGAAGGGCTCTGTATCGGGGCTTATGGAGCTTATATATGACAATAGGCTATCTCAACTCACGTGGGTTTATCCCAGGGCATAGGGGCGCTCTTCCTCAGCAGGGTTCTGTATCGGGGCTTATGGAGCTTATATATGACAATAGGCTATCTCAACTCACGTGGGTTTATCCCAGGGCATCAGGATGCTCTTCCTCAGAAGGGCTCTGTATCGGGGCTTATGGAGCTTATATATGACAATAGGCTATCTCAACTCACGTGGGTTTATCCCAGGGCATAGGGGTGCTCTTCCTCAGCAGGGTTCTGTATCGGGGCTTATGGAGCTTATATATGACAATAGGCTATCTCAACTCACGTGGGTTTATCCCAGGGCATAGGGGCGCTCTTCCTCAGAAGGGTTCTGTATCGGGGCTTATGCAGCTTATATATGACAATAGGCTATCTCAACTCACGTGGGTTTATCCCAGGGCATAGGGGCGCTCTTCCTCAGAAGGGTTCTGTATCGGGGCTTATGCAGCTTATATATGACAATAGGCTATCTCAACTCACGTGGGTTTATCCCAGGGCATAGGGGCGCTCTTCCTCAGCAGGGCTCTGTATCGGGGCTTATGGAGCTTATATATGACAATAGGCTATCTCAACTCACGTGGGTTTATCCCAGGGCATCAGGATGCTCTTCCTCAGAAGGGCTCTGTATCGGGGCTTATGGAGCTTATATATGACAATAGGCTATCTCAACTCACGTGGGTTTATCCCAGGGCATAGGGGTGCTCTTCCTCAGCAGGGCTCTGTATCGGGGCTTATGGAGCTTATATATGACAATAGGCTATCTCAACTCACGTGGGTTTATCCCAGGGCATAGGGGCGCTCTTCCTCAGCAGGGCTCTGTATCGGGGCTTATGGAGCTTATATATGACAATAGGCTATCTCAACTCACGTGGGTTTATCCCAGGGCATCAGGATGCTCTTCCTCAGAAGGGCTCTGTATCGGGGCTTATGGAGCTTATATATGACAATAGGCTATCTCAACTCACGTGGGTTTATCCCAGGGCATAGGGGCGCTCTTCCTCAGAAGGGCTCTGTATCGGGGCTTATGCAGCTTATATATGACAATAGGCTATCTCAACTCACGTGGGTTTATCCCAGGGCATAGGGGCGCTCTTCCTCAGCAGGGTTCTGTATCGGGGCTTATGGAGCTTATATATGACAATAGGCTATCTCAACTCACGTGGGTTTATCCCAGGGCATAGGGGCGCTCTTCCTCAGCAGGGTTCTGTATCGGGGCTTATGGAGCTTATATATGACAATAGGCTATCTCAACTCACGTGGGTTTATCCCAGGGCATAGGGGCGCTCTTCCTCAGCAGGGCTCTGTATCGGGGCTTATGGAGCTTATATATGACAATAGGCTATCTCAACTCACGTGGGTTTATCCCAGGGCATAGGGGCGCTCTTCCTCAGCAGGGTTCTGTATCGGGGCTTATGGAGCTTATATATGACAATAGGCTATCTCAACTCACGTGGGTTTATCCCAGGGCATAGGGGCGCTCTTCCTCAGAAGGGTTCTGTATCGGGGCTTATGGAGCTTATATATGACAATAGGCTATCTCAACTCACGTGGGTTTATCCCAGGGCATCAGGATGCTCTTCCTCAGCAGGGTTCTGTATCGGGGCTTATGCAGCTTATATATGACAATAGGCTATCTCAACTCACGTGGGTTTATCCCAGGGCATAGGGGCGCTCTTCCTCAGCAGGGTTCTGTATCGGGGCTTATGCAGCTTATATATGACAATAGGCTATCTCAACTCACGTGGGTTTATCCCAGGGCATAGGGGCGCTCTTCCTCAGCAGGGTTCTGTATCGGGGCTTATGGAGCTTATATATGACAATAGGCTATCTCAACTCACGTGGGTTTATCCCAGGGCATCAGGATGCTCTTCCTCAGCAGGGTTCTGTATCGGGGCTTATGGAGCTTATATATGACAATAGGCTATCTCAACTCACGTGGGTTTATCCCAGGGCATCAGGATGCTCTTCCTCAGCAGGGTTCTGTATCGGGGCTTATGGAGCTTATATATGACAATAGGCTATCTCAACTCACGTGGGTTTATCCCAGGGCATCAGGATGCTCTTCCTCAGCAGGGTTCTGTATCGGGGCTTATGGAGCTTATATATGACAATAGGCTATCTCAACTCACGTGGGTTTATCCCAGGGCATAGGGGCGCTCTTCCTCAGCAGGGTTCTGTATCGGGGCTTATGGAGCTTATATATGACAATAGGCTATCTCAACTCACGTGGGTTTATCCCAGGGCATAGGGGCGCTCTTCCTCAGCAGGGTTCTGTATCGGGGCTTATGGAGCTTATATATGACAATAGGCTATCTCAACTCACGTGGGTTTATCCCAGGGCATAGGGGCGCTCTTCCTCAGCAGGGTTCTGTATCGGGGCTTATGGAGCTTATATATGACAATAGGCTATCTCAACTCACGTGGGTTTATCCCAGGGCATAGGGGCGCTCTTCCTCAGCAGGGGGCTCTGCGGTCCGGTAGCGATGATGGCCAGCTCCCTGAGGTTGTCCATCCCATCAAACTCCGGGTCCAGACGACTGTGCGGGTCCGGTAGCAGTTGTGGCTGGACAGTATCACACCTTCCATCTGTTTCAACACCAACATGTCAATTGAAATTCAGTACTCGTGAGTTCACCCGTTTCTTCACACTTCTGTAGTCTTACTATAACAGACCCTTGAAGATCCGGGTAAGAATGGGTCTTCAGCAACCCATGCTTGCTTTAAAAGGCGACAACGCTTGTCGTAAGAGGCGACTGATGGGAAAGGGTCGTCCGGCTCGCTGATTCGGTTGATGCAAGTCATCGTATCCCCATTACGTAGATCGATGCTCATGATGTCAACTACCGGAATGTCTGTAGGGAGCTTTTTAAAAGTTTTCCCATTGATACAAAATAATATTTATGATATATGCATATGAGAGGCCTCAAACAATATTCCAGCAAAACCCACCAGACTTCACACATTGTACGCAGGCAGGGAAACGACGAGGGTAAAGTATCCGTTAAACATTGACCAGACCCCCTGGTAAGCTGCGTATACGCTTACTACTTCGTCAGGTTTTTGCTTGTGTGTTTGTTTGTTTGTTGTTTTGCGATCAGCAATGTTCCAGCTATATGACGGCGGTCTGTAAATAATCGAGTCTGGACCAGATAATCCAGTGATTGACATCATGAGCATCGATCCATGCCCTTCATCAGGTGAATGAATGCTATCAGGCAGGGAGCAGATATATGTACATAACAAAAGGTGGAAACTAACAAGGGAGGCCAACAGATGATTGCCGCTGATAGGTGATTAGCAATAGACAATGGAAGCCAACACTTTACAGTAATTAGCGCTGATGGTTATGGACAACTGGACTACATCAGCGACCCCTCCTCTTTCGCCAACCAGCTGAAAGAAGCTAACCTCACAGGCACCATGGTCAGCTATGACGTAATCAACCTCTTCGCCAAAAGCTACAGAATAGAATCGACGACCTAGACATCAGACTCACCATAGACAGCAGGCCCGTGAAGAATCCGGGTTAGAATAGGTCTTCAGCAACCCATGCCTGCCGTAAAAGGCGACTATGCTTTTTAAAAGGCGACTAACGGGATCGGGTGGTCAGGCTCGCTGACTTGGTTGATGCATGTCATCGTATCCCAATCGCGTGGATCGATGCTCATGATATTAATCACTGGATTGTCTGGTCCAGACTCATCACTGAAACCTTCATGACATCCTTCGAAGAATCAGCCCCCTCCACATCACCATTCCAACCCGTGTGCTGGTACAGGAAAGTAGACGACACATTCACCACCATGGCCCGACAGAACGACCCCACAGAGTTCCTTAACCACCTCAACGCCAAGCACCAGAGAATCCAGTTCACCATGGAGACCGAAACCAATCTACACCTTCCTTTCCTAGACATGTCCCTCAAAACCACAGATGATGGACTGAGAACATCAGTGTACCGCAAGCCCCCACATAGATCATTACATCCCCTACAACTCCTGTCACCATCCCAGATAAAACAAGCCATCATCGCCACCCTCACCCGACGTGCCAAATCCATTTGCCACCCTGATGCCTTCAGCAGTGAACTGGACCATCTCAAGGAAACCTTCACGTCCCTCAACAGTTACCCTGCCTCCAGAACCATCCGCAAGACCCTCAAGAACTCTGATCCCAGCCCCATCGCCCATCGGAATCACCATACCCTACCAAGGCCCTGTCACTCATCAGATTTCCCGCCTCATCAAGAAGTAATCCAGTATAGATGTCACCTTTTCTAGTTGTAACAGGCGACTAATGGGATCGGGTGGTCAGGCTCGCTTACTTAGTTGATGCATGTCATCGTATCCTAATTGCATGGATCGATGCTCACGATGTCAATCACTGGATTGTCTGGTCCAGATTCGATTATTTACAGACCGCCGTCATATAGCTGTAATATTGCAGAGTGCGGTGTTAAACATCAAACAAACAAACAAAACAAATAAACATTATATAAGTAATACACCCATATGAAATCAGACAGCTGAAAACAACGATGTAACTTTCCAGCGGACTCAGTCCATTCAGGAAAACTCGGGGAAGACGTATGGCTATAACAGTGTGAATGATACGGAACGTGAATGGGAAGAAAACAGGTCACGTGACTACCTGTATGGCTGCCAGCCAAGTTGTTTCCTTCAAGTATTCATGTCACGAGCCAGTTATAAGTGTCGTGCCATGTATATAAATGTGTAGTAAAAGCAAGATTTGCATGTTGGACTAGTACAGTTAGCATGTTTTGTCTTTCAGGAATGACGTTCACCCAAGGAATGAATAGGTATTTTTTTTATAATCCCATATGTGTGTGAGTGAGGTTTAACGCCGCTTTGAACAGTGTATTTCGTGGCAGTTTGATGTTTGAGGAAAGCCCGAGGTGATGCAGGGTATGGTGCCGAGAACCTAGAAACATAAGAAGGGCGAACCTGGGATTCGAACCCACGGCCTCATTCATTTGTGGCAAGACTAAGGGACGCAACTCGTGCGACAAGGCCACCCATGGACCCCCCCCAAAAAAAAAAAAAAAAAAAAAAATTAAAAAAAATTAAATATATCAGTGTTCCAATTCTTTGAGTAAGGGTTCTGGGTGTATATCGGTGTTATACACGCTTTGTAAGCTGTTGTTATTCCAAATAAATACCGTTAGGTTTTACTACATATATTCAATCCGGGGAGGCGGGGAACCTGGTGGTTAAAGGGTTAGCTGGTCGCACCGAAGGCCATAAATTCAATTCCCGTTGTCCACGTCGTGCCATGTTGCTAAAAGCGCTGTAAAATCTACTCACTCACTTACTCTCGACCTGTGAAGACCTGGGTTAGAATAGGTCTTCAGCAACCCATGCCTGCCGTAAAAGACGACTATGCTTGTCCTAAGAGGCGACTAACGGGATCGGGTGGCCAGGCTCGTTGACTTGGTTGATGCATGTCATCGTATCCCAATTGCATGGATCGATGCTCATGGTATCAATCACTGGATAGTCTGGTCCATAGTGGATTATTTTGCTGGAATATTGCTGACTGTGGCGTTAACTAACAAACAAACAAACACTCTCTCACTCACTCAATGGCAGGACAAACGATATACTGACAAAGTATTACCAGGTTCGTCTTGATCGTCAGTCTCGCTGGTGTGGCATTCTGAGGACTCCTCGCACTTGGTGTTCTTCTGGTGGTACTTGAGACCGTTGTTGCTGAAACAGCACAAATTAATATCACCCCACTCATGTCATGCCGGTTTTCCTCTTTCATAGTAGCAGGAAGCCATACAATACCAAACTATCCTGTCGGAGTTCATTTGAAACTGATGTCCCAAATAGGAGCTATACTTTAAATACAGCTCATATCTTACATTAAGTAAATGTCTGGTCAGACAACGTTTGATATTATTATTATTTATTCGTGCAAATATCTGTTCCATTAAACAAAAACGATTGCCTGGCGTTTTTATTAATTGACTACTTTGTGTCACAAAGTAGAGATAATTTATGTGTAACAATTTCTTTATTTACTTGAAATAATGGCCTAAATATTTATGCCTTTACAGTAAATAAAGAAGTTGTTATCCATAAATTATCTCTACCTTGTCATCCGTCAACTACTAAGTAATGCCTATCAAACAATTTCTTTTGTATCAATATATTTTCAATTGTAACATTAATAGATAATGAATAAAAAAATATAAACCATACTTATTACGTATATATGAACTGATAGTTTTATTTGAATATAGGAAAACATTAGTAGGTTATGTTAAGTGAACAAGAATTGCAAAACAATGGATGATATAAACTTTATTTCTTGTTGTAGTTTGGAATTAGCTGTGTACAACACTGTGAGTTCTGTGCCCTTATCCGTCCTGTAACTCTCACCCCCAGGTCATCTGTTACTGAATCACCACTCTATACGATGGCTATAATTAGGACCAATAACGTTTCACCTGTCTGCCCCTATTTTTTACAACAGAGCAGGTGCTCGTTTTCACTTGGGGGAGAGTTTTATATGACAGGCAACGAAGTTAATTGCTGAATAAAGAGCAGATGTATAGTCCTGAAGAACCTATCCACCATCACCGGCGGTTTCAATTGTTAAATAGTTCATTTCCGGCCTTGACCCACGTAAATACATACAGTCTTATTTAGATTCTACTTAATCTAACAACACACGAGGATCAATTAGCCTGTTATTATTACAGAATGTTAATGTCACGTGTGAAATACTTTCATAATTTGACTACATCAATGATGGAACTGAGTGTGTATATAACTGAGTATATATCTAAATAAATCAATATATAAATAAATAAATATAAATATATATATATATATAGATAGATAGATAGATAGATAGATAGATAGATAGATAGATAAATATATAAATAAATAAATTCCGGGTCCCGTTAGTCAGGAAATCCCATCTATCGGACGATCACTGTTGTTTACGGCAACAAAGGGACATTACTCCATATTAGCTACTGTTTGTTAATCCGGACGATTTCGTCGGAAACGTCAGAGTCCTGATTAACGGGGTTCCCTGTGGATGAAATGGGGGTCTACTTGGCGACTCCTGGCAGAAAGCTCCACTGACAGACGGATATCATATATGTACATATAAGTCATCGTTAAAACCACCACCATGACCTGTCCCTGGCGTGAAACACTACCTCTAACCTCTAGCCTTCAGCTCATTAGTTCTCTGCTATATTCTGCATTAAGATCCCACATGCATAAAGAGAACAGTGTTCTGACAATTATTGTATGCATAATTTATGATAAAGTGCAGCATCTCAGCATGCTATATAATAATACACGGTTAATTTAAAAATTAATTTCTTTTTACACTTTCCCTTCCAGGATACCTGTACATATATTCTACGTCTGAATGGTTAATTTAACAAGATGACAAATCTCCCGGCCCCAAAAGATTCGAAAGAACAAATAATCTGACTGTTACTTTGAATTCAACTTGATGCGATAATTTCTATCTAATCTGTCTGTCCGCATACAAGAGCAGTTATTGAGCTATCAAGATAATACCATGGAATAGAGATTCGGAACTGTGTGTATTTCTATGTCAGGTACACACCGATATCAACAGAGTCAGTGGATTAAAATATGAATTTTAAAAATCCCTATTTAGATAGCAAAAGGCAAACCTTCATGAAAGAATGCCTATTAGTATTAGAGATATGGTCCCGACAAACATACCAATATGAACAGAGTCAAAGTCAAACTTGTTGCCATGGAAACCGAAAAATATAAATTCTAAAAATCAGTAAATATGTAGCACAAGGCACCAGATGACAAACATACCACTATGAACACAGTCAAATCAAACTTGTTGCCATAGAAACGGAAAAAATATAAATTCTAAAAATCCGTAAATAGCAAAGGTTAATTTGGTCTTTGTGTGTTTCAAGGAAGAGTACCTATTAGTTTTGGAGATATGCTTCAGACAAACACCACTAAGAACAAAAAAAATCAAAAAATTCTAAACGCCCCTAAATAACAAAAGGCAATATTTGACAACCTGATCTTTGTGTGTGCAAACGTTCATGAAAGAAAGCCTATATAGGTTTAGAGATATGGTCCCGACAAACACACCAATATGAACAGGGTCAAATTCAAACCTGTTGCCATAGAAACGGAAAAATATAAATTCTAAAAATCTTTAATCAGCAAAAGGCACCAGCTAACAACCTGGTCTTTGTGTGTGCAATTTTAAATATTTTCCTAAACAACAAAAGGCACCTCTTCAGCTCCCGATTAATACATGTACCAAATTGGAATAACAAATGTTGAATAGGTTTTTTTTATTTCTGCTCCGGAAACGACACCTTCCTCCGTTTCATCTTAGTCGAACTTGTTTCCATGGAAACAGGGAAAATTACAATTTCGAAATATACTTCAATAGAAAAAGGCACCACTTCAGGTCCCGGTTAATACATGTATCAAATTTGGATGAAAATTCTTTCACGGTTTTCAAGTTATTCTCTGAAACGAAATACAGACAGACAGACAGACAGACAAGAATATGGACTATAACCTCCCGCATTAAATACCGGTGGGATAAAAAATGAATTATGTTTTAAATAAAATTCTGGGATACCTATACAAATATTCTACGTCTGAATGGTTAATCTAAAAATTATTATTATTATTATTTTTTTAATTTACAGGATACCTATACAGGTATTCTATTTCTGAATATAATAATGGGGTCAAGCTCACCTTTTAAATGTTTTCTTGCATCTGGAGCACAGAAATGTTTTGACATCCTTATTGTGCGATTTGATGTGGTATCTGAGCCCCGGGGCACTGGTGAACGTCTTTTTGCATCCCGGTTCCGTACAGTATCGCACCTTGTGACTCCCCCCGTCACCCTGCCGCTGGGTTGTGAGGAACTCTTGCATCCGATGCGTCTTCACGTGGGGGCGTTTCCCCAACTCCACCCCTCCATCCTGATAAAGACAAGATGTGAAAAAAAATGATTTAATAAAAGTAAAAAAAAACCATTAAAAAATGTCTCCTTGTTACTGGATGTACGGGTACAAAGATCGGTTATAACAAGTCTATATAAACAATTTCAACTAATTCCATAAAGAGTATTCATTTCAGTAGCCAGGTCAGTGTGACCTGTATAGACGGTTATTTTGTTCCCTGCACTTTTACATCACAAACTGCACGTGGCTGTGTGAGTATTAGAGCGGCGAGCCTGTTCCAATCTGTCACGCTGACCATTTGCTTTTTGCTTGTGTTTTGGTAGACATTTCGAAATATTTATTTTTTTAAATTCTTAATTCAATTTAATTTCTAAAAGTGAGCCCCTCGTACCGACCTGAACCAAAAATATCCAAATAACTCTAGCAAGTCTATAATAGTTTGGCAAGTCTAGATTTCTTCAGTTTCAGTTGTGAAAATATAGTGGATCCATGTTCTCCTTTCTATGATATATAAATACATTAAACAAAACAGTCGTAAAATTATTTATTTCAGAGGTGTACGTCATTTTTATTCCTTAAGGCACTACAGCCTTGTGGATCGTTGGCCTGTTGTTGATAACATTGCATGTCTGTCTGTCTATCTGTATTGGGATTCATCACAACTACATGCTGCATATTCAAGTATAGCAGACAACAATTAATTAATTTATTCGCTGGTTAATCGAAAAATGTCCTCGTCAGAGAATATACCAAGTCGTGTGATCAATGCAAATCCCATCGTATCGTATTGCCAGTGGCACCACACGTGATTATAAAACCGGTTTGTGGAAATGACAGTGTTGCTGCACGGACCTGCATGGAAAGATGTTATCAGATTTATTGTTTCCTTGAGCAATTCATTATTCCTATTTTGTTTAATTTAGCTATCCTTATACATGTATGTTCGTTTGTGCATGCACTCACCTGCCCTGCCATTCCACATTTGAATAGACCTCTAATGTATAACCCGTGGCAACATTTGGTAATAAAGTGTGATTTAAAAACGAATAGGTCACAGGATAACACAAATTTGCATTTTACACATTTTAAAATATTCAAAACTGAAAGCATTTTGAATTTGAAACCATATTATATGACCGGAAACCGTTAAAATCAGTCCCTTTAAAAAAATGTGCATAAATAGAAACAGAGAACAAACAAATTAAAAAATATTTAAAATAACTGAACACACATGTTATGCACAAAAGCAGGGGATTAATACGTCTCTTAAACCACGTGGATTTGATTAAAATAAACACAATCCTTTGAAAGTGACTAATGTGACCGTCTAATCATATTTTTCTTAAATTTCTGAATCCTTCGCTAAATAATTAAGTCACAAATATATAGTTATAATTATTTAGAAAATTAACTTGAAAAGCCCTCCTACAAAGGGTTACTGTGTAGTTCTGTTATATATTCATGGAAATCGTGTAAGCTTATTTGATAAAGGTAGATATTGCATTCATCTGCCATTGGTTATACGCTACAGTTGGCACGAAATAGAGATGTAAATTATATAGAGTGAACCACACTTGACAAACCTATATTATCAAGCAGAACTAAGCAGCTCTTCAAGTAACACGAGCAAAGTGCGTGAATCATATCAAGTTAACATGGTTAGTTCGAAATGTGACAATTAATCAAATATGGTATCATTTCAAAATTGAAAATATGAGAAACGAATAGTTAGCTGTTAGCAGATTAATATTTTTTTAGAATTTATCCACAGAGGTGCACACATCTCTGTACCTGGAGAAACATTATTTGCATAATTAATTCCTTGTATACAGGAAATTTGCATAAATAATTCCTAGTTTACAGGATATTTGCATAATTAAATCCTAGTAAACAGAATTTTTTTCCATACTGTACTGGTACCATCACAACTATAAATAGTCATCACATTTCGACCACTAAACGACAAAATATAATCAATCGAACCAGCACTGAATATATATTCAGTGTGTGAGTTAAATTATGAACTTTAATTTAATCTAATTAACATATAACATATATTATTATCGAATTTACCCCATTTTAGCAGGGTACAGTGTAAGCCGTGTATATTTGTCCCTTCTCCGTATACACCATGCTATAAGCTGATAGTTGTCTTTTCCAGTCAAATGTTATGCTAATCTCATTGAGTGACCGAGGAAGCTGAGATATATTTTCGTGAGTGGCGCTGCTCTGAGTGAAATGTCAACTTTGTCGGGTCACGGGATGAGATAAACATTGCACATGTCAAGAAAAGACAACTGTTCTGACAACCTGTATTTTCTTGCATGATGTTCATTATCTTACTCCAAAATATTCTGACGCAGACTGAAAGTGGTTCGGGAATAGTGTAATGTCATTCGAGTATGTATCGTAATACATAATACATATATAGAGAGATTTTACATGGAGAACTCGAAACAAAGGATGAGAAGCGTGTATGTCTTACATCAACACAAAGGCAGAGATATACGTGTGCCTTCAAGATGTGAGAGATTTGTTTTATGAACTTTCGCCCAAGATTATATTCTAGTCAGAAAAGTTAACCATATATAAATAACTGAAGAAAACAGTGAGGAATATTGAAAATTCTGAGGGATATTTTAGTAGTAGACGACTGAGCACACAATTTCATAAATATCCCCCCAAATATTCATGACCCCTAGCATTTTCTGTTCAGTATATTATACATGATAGGACATGCATTGTCATTTTAAATTAAAGTTTGAAGGCAACATTTGTCAAAATAAATAAGTGACTATATTACGAACTTGAAAACTATGAACAGTAAATTTAATCTCCAATCTTTGGTCAAGAGGCCTATATTTATTGACCGTTATTAAGTACAATCGTTTCGTTTAAGTATAAATATATTGTTGTTAGGTCGAAGAGTACTGACTTAATATTCAATATCAGTTGCTGTGGTGATATGTTAACCGAAACGGTTAAACTTAAAGCTGATACGGGTGGATATACCAAATATATTGGCAATCTAGAATACTGGAATCTATTCAATATATCACACGGAATTTAAAACAATGTAAAAGGATTTGAGAGTGACGACATATACACTGATAGACCAAAATTGTAGGATTGAGCAGAAATGAACAATATCAACAGAAAACAACACTGTTATCACGATATGCACCCTACTTTGTACCAAAGGTTATTAACATTGTTACATGATAAAATATCCAGTGTGTTGGTGTCGGATAACACACTGGCGCTATTACAATATTGCTCACATCACACAATGGCTAGATGCATCGTTATCCGTGGTTAAATGACACAGATAAAATGATTCAGTGTTAATCATAATGTACATACATGTATATCAATCAAATTATCAACAAGCTCGAAAATTTCATACACAATGGAAAATAATAATTATTTATTTAATTTCCATTCATTAGTCATGATCGGAGTGTTGATGCAAATTGTCATATTTCGTGTTCGCCAGGTTAAATATATGTGGGTATGATGTAACGCCGTTTGGTCAAACTTCGTTACTTTTTCAGATGACTCATTCGTTGTATGTATGCCCAGGAGTGTATACACCACGTGATAAACATGTACTAAGTGCGGACTGATCGGCGAAATACATATTATTACATCTCGATATCTGCGTTGCATAACTACCCAAAACCACGGTTTCGCTCATATGTTAAACTTTATTTATAGACTGACCAGCTGATCGCTCAACTAAATCTTGGAGGGGAAAACGTGCGTTCTGTCTCGGCGGTAACTCCAAACTATAACCTACATCACGAGTATATGGTGTAAGTATACTTGGTATATCCCGTAACCTACGCTCATTGTTTGAGCGCGAAGAGAAGCGTCTAACCATATATTCAAACTCGGCTAGTCCGTCGCACTGAGATGCACTGACCCAAAGCCTAGCCGGTCAAATACAACCTAAGTGAGACAGGCGTTTAAATCAAGCTTGCGCGCTTTAAATCAGGTCAAAATAACCGTGGATCAACTATAATCACCGTTATGCAGCTAACAGGACTTGAAAACGGTCAGTTGTTATGTGTCGGTGAGCTAAATCGACCACAGCTATGTAGAAGTTGGGACAGGTGAGCCGACACGCTTTGTAGTAAAAAGTTTGAAAAGCGTAGTAAAACTAATCGGGTCGTTTGGCGAACAGCCAGACTTTCAAAAAGTGACAGTTGCAATGAGCATAAATGAACTAGCGTATACAGCCACGGTCTCACTTCCAATTCAGTAAATCTCAAGTACTTTTAATGGCTACATAACAATCAGTCAGAGTTGAAACCGTTATAGTAAATTTGTAATGAGACTACTCACGCTTTCTGACGCCATTTTATCTGGGCTGGTGGGTGACGACAACATTTCGCTGATTGGCTGCGAATTATCGTGAGGTTTTCTTGCGATTTTTTCATTGGTCATCGATTTATGAATATTAATAAGGTGGTTTTCGCGCCCATCCTGAATTCGTACCGGCTGACATGCGTTTGTTTTGGTCTTCAGATGTAAACACTCCTTCAAAACACTAAATCTGTCACTCTGTTTTCAAACACGTGCTTTGATAGTCGGATAACCTCAAACAGTTCGGTACAGGAAGTGTAAATCTATGTCATTGCAGGTAACAGATTGCTGTAAATATTCGGTTTTAAAGACGCTGATTTCAAGGGTAATCAAATAGAATTTGTTATGGAACACAAACCTCTCTTCATCCCTTTCGCAGTTGTTTGATAGGCTTACATATGTCGAGTTCTCGAACAAATAAAATTAAGTCAGATTAAAAAATATATATATGTTGATGATTATATTAAAAAAAACAAGTTATAGTCACCGATTGAATAATACATTTAATAAATAAGCAATTATTGTTTTAGATAAAATTCACGTCTGATGCTAGAGTGAGTGAGTGAGTTGAATCAAGCATCGCCCAGGTACACCAGTGTAATATAAAGAGATCATTACGTGTGTTTTATTTGTTTGTTGTTTAACGCCCCAGTCAGCAATGTTCCGCCTATATGACGGAGACATGTAAATAATATAATCTAGGCCTGACAAGAGTGGGTAATGTTTCATAATATCACTGTATTACACACTGGAATGTGATATATTTATTGTCCAGGCATAATAATTAATGTAGTGATTCACCGAGTGAGTGGATGACTGCTGTTTTACGCTACAGTCTGGGACAGACAAACCAGTGGTCGAAGCCATGGTCAACTATTGGGGGCACGATGATACACAATCAGCCAACTCACCAAACCAGACCACCCGATCCCCATGTGTGTCTGCTATATTGTAGCCCCGTGAAGATCCGGGGTAGAATAGGTCTTCAGCAACCCATGCTTGTCGTAAGAGGCGACTAACGGGATCGGGTGGCCAGGCTCGCTGACTTGGTCGATGCATGTCATCGTATCCCAATTGCGTGGGTCGATGCTCATGATATCAATCACTTGATTGTCTGGTCCAGACTCGATTATTAACCGACCGCCGTCATATAGCTGGAATTGTGCGGCGTTAAACAACAAACCAACCAACCAATCCTGCCTGGCGCTTGACATTAAAGGGGTGAAACAAGGAGTGGCCATCTCGGAGTCAGTTTACTGTGTCTGAGTGGGGTAATCATGTTTGAAATGTTGGTGGGCTGACACTATAGTACCGGCCTAAATCCAAGGCAGCCACACGAACACGTGCATGCAAGTCGGTATATGAGTGCAATAATCTTTAACATGACATAAAACTTTAATCCCATTTCACCTCACATCACCTCCCTAGAATTAAATAAATTTAGATAATAATTTGACTTTGGACGTTTTTCGAGCCTTTCGTAATTATTATTGACTTTACAAAGAATCCTTTAACGGCACCGACTTAAAAAACGACACACACACACAGACAGACTCTCACTCACTCTCACACACACACACACACACACACACACACACACACACACACTTAATTTATGTTCATGTCTCATAAAAAAAATCGGAATCAAGGATATTTGTCTTACTGTTTTAATGTATACATGCTTATTTTGAATGTACAATTTGTTCTCGTAAATGAAATAATATCGATGCAACGTGGAATATTTCTTCACCTATATCCGGGAGAACAAGATTGGATCTTGCCGAATATCCAATGGGGTGGTCCTAGGGTTGGTCTTTTGCTCGCCAGTCTTCAATCTATAACATATGTATGGAGATGTATGGTGTTGAATGGAGCTGAGCTGGATGTACTGTCTTTGTTGTTGGACATGCCATAATTTAGGAGTATTTAAAAACAAACTTGAGAATAATTTCAATTTCTTGCCAAAACAAAAACACATCTAAATTGATTATTTGTCATCCGGCATCATCTCTTCGTTTCTTTTTCTTTTACAAATACATTGTTGTAGTAGTGTTCTGTAAATAACTGGCTTCATAGTTGTGTTACACATTCGCTGGATCCAACTGAACCCATCTGCTGTCTGGTCTGAAAAGTCCATCTGTTTATGTCATATCTATACTACAGTAAGCTACGGTTATAACGAACTAAATGGGACCACTAAGTTTAGTTCGTTATAACCGTAGTTCGTTATAGGCACATATACAGCCTATATTCAGCACATACACGGGACCCCAAAACAGTTCGTAATATCCGTCAGTCCGGTATAAGCGTGTTCGTTATAAACGTAGTTTACTGTATTAAAAAATGTTAAGGATCATCCGATCCTTTCTTATTACTACAGTTAACCTGTCATGGCATGACACATTTATTATACTAATTTAAAGGATTGGGTGGTCCTTTACTTTGTTTTAGTAGTATAGATAATGTACAGAGAAGAAATGTCTTAACTTTGAAATAATTTGTCAGTTTAAAAACATAAATCTTTTTTCAAATATTTTGGGAAAAATCTGAAGGACAAATAATCCCTTTGACTGCTGTTCCAAATGTTACCGGCAAGTTCACAAACACCCATTGTTTTGACACTTGAGAATTCCAGACTCGGTACATAAAATACATCAAGCGCTTGTCAACCAAAATTAGGAATCGTTCAGTTACAGTGTGTGAGTGAGTGAGTTTTGGTTTTACGCCGCTTTTAACAGTATTACAGTGATATCACTCGTGTCAGCTTAATGTGGGAGGAAAGACCAAAGTGATGCCGGTCTCAGACGTTTACCACTTTGGTGAAATCCACAAGCGCCGGTATGATGCTTAGGGACATAGAAACCTGTTCCATCAGTCAATGGTTTATCTGACCTAAGGACCACCCTGGGATAGCTGTAAACATTGAGTTTAATGACCACAATATCGGAATATAACAATAACAATATATTAGTGCTCACCTATATCTATAGTGAACTCGGGTGGGACAGTTAGGCTGTGGATCGTGCCTTTATACAACAGGTTTAATATAGCTGGAACGTTATGTTTTTGGTTACGAAATGTGCAATATTCATATAAAAATATATATAATCAATAATTAACTCGAGCGAAAAAATACTTTCTACCGGAACTCCATGCTTTCAGTCTGCTTCAATAACACGACATTTTTCAGAGTAAAATCATGAAGATCAAGCCAGAAAATGCTTCACAAATAGAATTCTAGTACATACATGTATATGTTATAAGGAGGTGAATTGGGGCGGTCGTGTAGCCTAGTGGTTAAAGCGTCCGCTCGTCACGCCGAAGACCCGGGTTCGATACCCGACAAGGGTACAATGTGTGAAGCCCATTTCTGGTGTCCCCCGCCGTGATATTGCTGGAATATTGCTAAAAGCGGCGTAAAACCATACTCACTCACTAAGGAGGTGAATTAATAGATGTCAACTTCTTTATTCTGAGCAACACAGCGTTTCGGAGTATATACTTACTCCTGTATCACTTCTAAATGCCATTCAAAGACCTAACATATGTTTTTGCTGTTAAATAACGTGAGATGAGACATAAACACGAAAAGGTTGCTCTCATAAAAATAGCAACTTTGTTGGGTCATTCGATGGGATAAACAACTTATTTGACTTGAAAAGACAGATAGCTTCCATATGCACTTACTCTCATTCGTGTGTTCAAGCACGCATCACTCTGTGTATACAGTCACTCACGATGCAGGTGCGTGAAGCACGACTTGTACGGGCAACGCACGGTCCTCACGTGCAGCTGAGACGTTTGTTTATCCAAGTCTAACGACTTCTTGTTAAGGTAACAGAATCATACACGTGGCTGTACAGTTGCAAGAAGAGCAAACAGAAATTCGTCACAAGCATCCAACTGACATTGATATATATCAGATGTGGGATTAGAAGGTGACCCATTGATAATATGGATGCAGGACTAGAGACAGAACTATATACAGAAGCATTCACGGCCATATGCATCTCAAACGGAAGTCATCTGTTATTCCGTGATGGGACTTTCTACCAAGCATGGTTCGTATGTTCATTACTGTCAAATGCAGTAGCTTCATTTTCTATCTTCTGGAACTTTATGCATTTACGAAAATATTGCAGTGCTTAATATGACTAATCTCTCTCTCTCTCTCTCTCTCTCTATATATATATAATTATATAGATTTCAAACAAACTACAGTTAAACTGCAATCACAAAATTACGAGAGCTCACCTAAATTCATTAGTCATATTAAGCACTGCAATATATTCGTAAATATATATAAAGTCCAAAGATGAGCTGTATAATTTACTCAACCGGTTACACGCATGTGATTTTCAAGAGTACTAATACTACTTATGTGTGTTGCAATAGAAGCCCAATTATATTATGCCCAAAACATGTATAGTCAATCATTAAGTAACGATATTTACCCATCGCAAATAAGAAAGAGAGAAAGTGCTTGTCACAAAAATATACTTTGTTTGAATAATGAACGATGCATATGAAAAAATTCCTCGGAACCGTTTCTCAACTACTGAACCATAGTTTCTAAAAGGTAATGGAATATATGTAATATAGGGGAGATAAGAATAAGGAGTGAGTAAGTGAGTCGGGTTTACGCTGCTTTTAACAGTATTCCAATTATGGCAGGGCGTGTCAGCTTAATGTGTGAGGAAAGCTCCAAGTGATGCAGGTCTCAGATGTTTACCACTTCGGTGAAATAAGAATAAGGAAAGTCATTGTAGATATATGATTGTTTATAGAATAATGTATCAAACGGCAAATGCTTTTAACCTGCATATAATTCCCTACCACTGATATAGTACGCTGTACTCAATGTACATACCTAAGGAATTATAGAAATGATCTAGTCTACCAGTTGTCAGACTTTCATTCTGTGAGGTCCTCAGTGGCTGAGTGGGTTAGATGGCTGACTTTGTGTGCTCTGACTTTGTGACGGGACTCCACCCCCCAAAAGTACTAGAATCTGTCCTACTAAAAAAGTGTTATCCCAAACATAACATTGTTTAGATGAAATTGGTTAACCTCAGAGTGTCTGTGTGTTGTTTGACTTGATCATACAGCCCCTGGGAAATGTCTGTAAGACTGTGCCAGGTCATCTGATGCGAGGGGGCACCGGTGGCCCAGTCGTCTTAGGCGCCGCAATTTGCTGTGCAGAGTTGCGTCCCTTGGGCACGCCAGAATCCTATGACTGTGGGATCGAAACCCGGTTCGCCCCGATTATGTTTCTAGGTTTGACAGCACCATACCGTGCTCGTGGGTTTCACCGAAGTGGTAAACGTCTGAGACCTGCATCACCTCAGGCTTTCCTCCCACATTAAGCTGACACACTGTGATATAACTGGAATACTGTTAAAAACGGGGTTAAACCCAACTCACTCACTCATCTGATGCGAATCCTCTTCCTCCCTCATCACACGACGTGTGTGCATCAAATGGTGTCAGGAACCAGGCTATGATCCCAGAGAGGATTCAAGGAAGAATCAGTCTCAAATGTTGATTCCAGAATACAGTCAACAAGTATACAATGTACACAATGTTTGTCCTGAAAGTTGACCGAGGATTGGGAGGCTTCAGTTAGGAACGTAAAATCATAAATGTTCACCTGTATTCGATGGCTGTGGGGGTTTTCAAAATCAGCAGGAACGATTTCCCGTTGATTGTGGGTCATCAAATCCTGATTCCATTATTTACAGGCAGGAGTGATATAAGTGGAATATTGCTGACTGGAGTTACAGCTGAAGTGTACCGTGTACCTATTGTTGTCTTGGCAGAATGACTGACTGCAGCTTGTAAATAATTAAGTCCATGTCTGACAAACCCGTGATTGATATTTTGAGTTACATCCCACATCCTCAGGAACAAAGATCAACCATGCCTGACCATCCAATCCATGTTGCCTCCACAAGCAAAGGATGCTGGGGATCAGCTCTAACCCAGCATCCTCACGAGGAACTTGGCTCCATCAGAGTCTGGTGGACATTATAAGCCCAGAGTCTACTTGCACAAAGCGATCTTAGCAGTACGACGATCTTAGCGCTACGACGATCTTAAGTCCATGTTAGAGTATGGGGGTTACGATTGTTGTTGGCCTTTTGCCTTGTTGAAGTGGGCCCTGGTCTACAGACTAAATAGATCCTAATCCACAATTTCTTGTTGGTTGATTGCAGATGTGGTAATAGGTAGAGGTCAATTGTCATATAGAGCAAATCCTCATCAGGAACAACATTAAGACATTTCAAAGATTAAAAAGAATTTAATGTTGTATTCCATCAAACAAAAACATTTGCAATACACATCAACAAACAGATGTAAAATATGGTAATTGTATGAAAATTGTGAACATCTGCACTTTCCATTACGAGTTGCTTGTATGATATTCACTCTACACTCAAAAACAGAACACATCATGGAATGAACATGAACACATGAACACATCGATCCTGACTCCCTATTCTCTCACAACCTTTCTACAACAAGAAAACTAGGTATTGCAAGCAACAACTGAAAATTAAAAAAACCCAGATTCTAATGAACTTAATCATGCTGATGTGGTAAATAGTGCAAGGGAAGAATTCTGGCAGTACGAACATGACAAGACCAAATTTTGAATCTCTCTATTTCAGTATTGGAATCATCCATATAAATACTCAATATGAATTGTTAAATTGTTAAACATATTTAGTCCATTTAAATCAATTTTCAACATTCTTGCACACATCAATTATTACATTTCAAAGAAATTTCTTTAAGACCTAGTTTTTGTGTAGGAACACGATATTCATAGCAATCATAACCATTTTTTACATCAATATCTTTTTTCTTCAATACAACTTGTGTATATATAACCATGTTCACCGTAATAAGTGCTCTTGGAGAAATTAGACAAATGGGGTCACGTATTGAAACCACACACAAGTTAAGTGAAGAAGCTTACCGGGGGGAGTTCAAATATCGATGAAACTACAACTGATAGTTGTTACATACCCCTCCTGCACTGCTGCTTAATGTAAACGTCTGTCGTTTACACAAGTCAACATGGAGTGTTTTGTACATTTTGGTACCAGAAGGGGGCGCTAAAAAGATTTGGTCTAAAACTTGATCAGGGTCCCTTACTAGAGCAGGGCGCTTAATATGGCAAATACGGTAGAGTTTTTACTTCCTGTCCAGTACTTACTATCAAGAGAAAGATTTCATAGTGCTATTCGTTATTAATTTCCATAATTTATACTACTACTGTGTTATTCTTATTGTAGTATAGTCGACAATATCAATGATTAAACTGCCTCAGTTTTCAAACCGATATAATAAGATTTAAATGAACACATCTACTCCATTTAATGTGAATATTAATTATTCTGACCGAGGTTCAGATTAAGATGGGACTTCAAGCATCAATATGTTCTCACAAAATATTCTTTCCTTCATTGCCATCTACAAGAACAGAAAATATTAGTGTCTGTGCTTTCATCATAGCAAAGCAAGCATTGGAGTAGTGCGTCTCTATCACACTGCAGATATATCTATTATACTGATAAAAATAATATGTAAAAGCTATTTGTATGGAAAAGCAGATTAAAACTTAATGAAAAACAGGTTTTATGCATTGTAAATGAAGGCTAAAATCATAGACTAAAAGACTGCATTATAACAATACTACAGATATCACATTCATTCATTGATGATAAAATTCCTTCATGTAACCAGCAATGTCTCCGATCTGTTGCAATCCATACACCCCCAGGGCATGTGGTACGATGAAAAACGTCAGACACACCATTAACTGTAGATTTCCTTTTACTAAATGGAACTGTTGCAATTCCACTGACTAAGGCCACAACAAAACAGTTAATGTTTGTCGAAGGAAGGAGAGAGATGACGACTAAGTTCGGAAACGTAATAAGTACAAACAACCATTCTCCTTCAGCCGACGTTTGTGAGTCTTACTGATTTCCCAAGATCATATTCAACATATCAACCACGAACATGCCTTAGGTCAAAATATGTTAATTAATGGATTTTCATCCCTGCCTGTCTCAGTACCATACACCTCACATTACATCAATATATTGCTCCCAGGTACTTACAAACAGAAGAAAATCTCTGTGTTGCTTTCTTCATCCCTTGATGAAACAGATGAAAACATACCATGTACATAGCACAACTAATCAATAATGCTTCATGTACACAGGACAGTCAACCAACTTGTTGGAAAAAATTAAAATAAAAAGCCTCCTGACAATTTTTTTCAAATTTGGATAAAAATCTAATAATTATTTCATTATGATCTTAAGATTTCACTAAATTTAGTTCCCCAGGGAGGTAATGGTGTGTGGCCTTTCATACAAGATCAATGTTCTCAATATAAAAAAACATTCCTTTTGCTCACCACAGCAGCCTTATTTGACCCTTGCCCTGATTACAACAATGGCAGTATGATGAATTGTGAAGAAAACCAAACTACATTCAGCCTTCTTGTAGCTGCCACAGTAAAGGAATGTGTCAATCTCTCAGTCATATCCTGGCTTATCGGAACATATGCAGACATGTTCACTCCTACTACTTCTTTATAGTTCCTGCTGATTTTGAAAACCCCCACAGCCATCGAATACAGGTGAAAACATTTAGGATTTTACGTTCCTAACTGATGAAATAATATTACTTCCAAATTAGAATGAAATACAGTAGATGTGTGCTAAAACGCATACAAAATTTTATAAAAAAAAATTCAAACTGGTATCAGTTTTACCATGGGCTCCGGCATCTTTGAACCATGTGTGCGCGACGGAAATAAACCTGTTGCATTAGGGGTAATAAAAATCAAAGCTGTGACCTTGGTCTGTTGATTTCAACTGAGGCTATGCTGTAAAACTACATGTTAAATCATCACGGCGATTCATTCATTCGTTCATTGTAACATGTATGAGGTCGACATCGCCCGCTCGCACACTGGTAGGAAAGGCTACTGACAAATAAAACTACGGACAGATTCTTAGTGAAACTGGTATGGCAAGTTAGGAGCAAACAGGTCTGCATATGACTCATAAATACTGATGCTGCAATCTGATTGGCTGGAATGGACAGGCTAGCATTGAGATTGGCTCTTCTGGTTCCATCAGATGTCTTTCCTCCATGGCTGTTCAAAGTTGACAACCAGTCCTTCTTCCGAATCAGGGTTGGAATCTAAAACAGGCAGAAAATAATTACTTGGACAAGAAGATTTGAAAAACTAATGAGTTTATCCTCATCAATTACGCCTAAATAGGTACTGTGACATTTGTAAAATTTAGACATTTATTGACTGTCTTAGCATTACCATGAGAGCGGCAAATGAAGTGTTGCCATAGTAACCTGTATTACCTATGACATCCAAGTTGACAGCAGCAAGTCTCTGCATGACATCATCCAACTCCTGTTCTGTTTCTGTGGAAAAGTCCTCTCCGGCAACGGCTCCACAGTTTTTGCAGTTCCGGATAAACCTGGAAAGTTTGTAAAAATGCCTTAATATGCAATACTTCTGAAGAGGGGGTTGAAGCAGAGAATATGTCTAAACTGGTGACACATCATGGCACACGAGTTTCCAACTTCAGATTGTGGAACTGTTCATCACCAAAAACTGGCTTCCACAGGAGATGCAATGAAATTGCATCACAATGCCTGGCAGATCAAAGAAATGACATCACTAATCTAAATGCCTATGAAGCTGGCCTGATGTACTTTTTACATCTAAGACACTTTATTGCTGTTTACAAAGTGTAAAAGTTTGAAAAATGATTTTGGATGTTATACAGAATCTCACTCTTGTCTCTTGATATGAAATATATCAACACTCGTCGATAATAAGTTAAAACACATCGATAAGCTTTTAAATTTTTTATTGACTCGTGTTGATATTTTTGTATCAAAAGACCCTCAGGTTAGATTTTCTTTATATCTCGGACCGCCTCCGTAGTCTAGTAGTAGAGCGTCTCCCGGAGAGCAGAGATCTGGGGTTCAATCCCTGTGTGCGTCATACTAAAAGACATTAAAATGGGGTACTTGTTGTTACCCTGCCTGGTGCTCGGCATTAAGGGGCTAAAACAAGGACTGGTCGGTTCAGAGTCAGTATACTGTGTCTGAGTGGGGTATTTATGTTAAACCGTGGCATGGTATCTCAGTTGTCTAGCACTATAAAATCAGCATCAGTCCGGACTTGTACAAGCAGCCACACACACACACATGTGCATGCACATCGCTACATAAGTGCAATGATCTTGAATGCAACATTAAAACAATTTCACCTCACCCCACCTTTATATCTTGACATCATGTCAGTTTGAATGCAACACTTAAAAGGATGCTTGGCTGAGTAAATTCAACTCTCCTGGCTGTCCTATATATGTTATTCAAAAACATATTATCTGCTGCTCACTTTAATGATCAAGATGATTTTTGTTTGTTTGTTGTTTTACGCCTCACTCAGCAATAATCCAGCTATGTGACGGCGGTATGTAAATATCGAGGCTGGACCAGACAATCTAGTGATTGACATCAAGAGCATCAATCCACGCAATTGGGATACGATGACATGCTTCAACCAAGTCAGTGAGCCTGATCGCCTCTTACGACAAGCAAAGTCGCCTTTTACAGCAAGCATGGGTTGCTGAAGACGTATTCTAACCAGGATCTTGACGGATAAATGATGTACACATTTCACTGAAAAAGACCCCTGGAGTTTCTGGGCAAGAATATGGGCCCCAGTAACCTATGCTGGTTGTCAGAGGTGACTTAATAGATCGGGTGGTCAGACTCTGTGACTTGGTTGATGCATGTCATTGTATCTCAGTTGCATGGATTGACGTCGTTGATGTCAATCACTGGATGGTCTGGTCCAGACTCTGTGATTTATAGATCACTGTCATATAGCTGTAATATTGCTGTGTGCGGCAATAAGACAACAAACAAACACTATATATATACACTATACATTAAGAATGTCAACATTTCACACAATGTGCGACTGACACTGAAAAACAGCAGCAGACTGTGGAACCTAGTCCTACATTAAATTACATTCCAAAAGATAAGGGTTGTTGTGAAACATTGTGCATCTGGTTTATTTCCTGCTGCAATGTGTTGTGATGATCTCCAATAAGCAATGAGCACCCATTGACAATTTTGACAATTAGTTTTTGGAAACACAAAAAAATCTGAAAGAGTGAGTTGGGTTTAACGCTGCTTTAAACAATATTCCAGTTATATCGCGGCGTGGCAGCGTAATGCAGGTCTCAGACGTTAACCACTTCGGTGAAACCCACAAACATGGGTATGGTGCTGACAAACCTAGAAACATAATCGGGGTCAACCGGGATTCGAACCCACAATCATAGGTTTCTGGCATGCCCAAGGGATGCAACTCTGCACAGCGAATCGTGGCACCTTAGATGACTGGGCCACCCTTCTCTTTAGGAAGAGCAAAAGCCCTTGAATACAGGATGTTGATGCATCACGCTGGTCTCTGAACTCTGAGATTCAAGGCAGAACAGATCCCAAGTGACCAGTGAAGTTCCGGGGTAGAATAGGTCTTCAGCAACCCATGCTTGCCATCAAAGGCGACTAACGGGATTGGGTGGTCAGGGTTGCTGACTTGGTTGATGCATGTCATCATATCCCAATAGCGTCGATCACTGCTCATGATGTCAATCACTGGTACGTCATATAGATGGAATATTGCTGAGTGTGGTGTTAAATAACAAACAAACAGATCCCAAGCAGAGGGTGACAACTGTTAAATATGAACCACAATTTGATACCAACACTCTGGATTGACTGCTGACTTAATGATTATGTCCTCAACTGTGGCTTGTTGTGTTTACATGTTGCCGTCACATCACATGATACTGTTGACTAGTGTGCTATACATGCTGCAATGTTAATCCTGCCCCCCCCTCCCACCAAATCAGCATGACACGGCTGCACCCACCTTCCCCAGTGTTCGTCCATCAGGAGGGTGTGAGGGTTCCCGATGACGATCAACAATGCCTTTGGTCTTGTCACAGTCACATTAAATCTCTGAAAAAAAAAAAAAAAAAAAAAATAGTATTTAACATAATTAAATCACTGGAAAGATGGCAATGTCGGGTACGAGAAAACCTGTGACCCTCCTTCAGTCACCATGTGACAACAAAACACACACTATGTAATCTACACCTGCTCAGTGGGCCTCCCTTCTGAGCTGAAGGCTCTTCTGACACTCCATACAGGCTAAGTAACATGATATCAGAACAGACTGGTCAAATGCAAGCCTTTCAGTGTGATTTACACATACATTTGTACTACAACTGTGACAGTGAGGCGCATGACAATATATACTCTTCAAAAAAAGAAACTTGACACTGACTTTCAAAATGTAATATAATGCGATTGTTTAAAAATAGGACACAGAAACCATAATTGAAACACTGTTTTAAGATCAATGTACACAATGTTCAAAACATTAATCGTGTTACCTAGACAGACACACGTACACGATACAGTTAATGTCACAGGGGTACAGAAAATGTCAGTATCGGTTGTGCCCACCACGTGCATCAATCACCGCTTGACACCGACAACCCATAGATGCAATCAAGTTGTCAATAACACGCTGTTGGATGTGCTGCCATTTATGCTTAAGTGCATCAAGAAGCGCGGGAAGTGTTTGGGGCGGTGGATTCCTTCTGCGAACGCGTCGATCCAACTCGTCCCACAGATGCTCAATCGGGGACAAATCTGGTGACCGTGGTGTAAGAAGTCCTGACAAACACATGCAAAATGCGGTCGAGCGTTGTCCTGCTGGAACTGTCCGCCATGAACGTTGACGTGAGGAAGAACGTAAGGCTGTAGGATCAAGTCTCTGTAACGCAAACCTGTCAATGCACATGCACGAGAGGCGTCCTACCACCGTGATGAATTCCGGCCCTTACCATGACACTCCCGCCGCAAAATGGGACAACCTGCTGCACACAGTTGGGGGCGTAACATTCACCCCGACGTCTGTAGACACGTGCACGCCCATCAGCACGTGTGAGTAGGAAACGGGACTCGTCAGTAAACAGTACATTTCTCCATCTTGCACGTGCCCATCTAACCCTCTGTTGGCATTAAAGCAGACGGTCCGTCAGATGACGTGGGGTCAATACATGACGTCGAACAGGTCTTCGTTCAAAAAGTCCAGCCTCCCTCAGTCTGTTGCGTACCGTTTGATCTGATATTCTGCGTACCCCAGGGATGTGTGTGGTTGTAGACGTGGCTGTGGTATTGTGGTCTCGCAGGTGTCGCAGACGGATGTATCGATCTTGTGCTTGGGTTGTCACCCTTTGTCTGTCGTCAACTCTGTTGGTGTTGTTGTATCGGGTCCACAGTGCGGAAATTGTCTGTCTGGATACGCCAAAGTGCCTGGCCACTTCTTGCTGAGTTGCTCCAGCTTGTAATCTCCCAATGGCGTTGTTCCATTGAGCTGCATTCAGCCGCCTCTACTGCCGTTATAAGGACTGTATGAACAGCCGTTGATGTGGATTTTTATACCCATTCAGCAGGGGGGCCTGCATGCCTAAATGCAGGATCCTGTGCTGCACCTTTTTTACAGGCGGTTGCGTTTGGATGAAGCTGTAAAACACTATGTTTATGTGCTTTGCATGTGTTTTCGCGAATTATAGACACATCTTCTTTCTGTTTGACTTATTTGGTTCTCATTTAATGTAATTATTTTAGATATTTGGCAAAAAGTGGTTTTACATCTATGTCAAGTTTCTTTTTTTGAAGAGTATATATTTATACATGAAAGTGACCATATCGCCAGCTCTTCGTCGGGCTTCGATACAATCAATGTAAACCAGGATAACTTGGCAAATGGAAATAGTTTTCCACGTTTGAGGATATTTGCTCAATGGAAGTTAACCATTCTATGACATGTTTATCTAAATGTTTTGACTTGTCAAAAATGAAACTGATGAAAACCATATGCAATATCTTGAATGGACTGTGTTGGAGGTGACGAATCGTCACATGGCGCTGGCCTGAGGCAGAGGTTCTATGTTGGAACAAGGAACTCAGGGCAGGAGGGTCGTTTCACCGTTGGACATGGGCACTGGGATGTCCTCCTACCTTTGGATTCTTGAGAAAGCCAAGGTTGAACTTGACATCTTGTGAGAGGTATTTGGGATTGCTGCGGACGGTGGAGACGATGATGATGAGTCGCTCGGCTCCCTGGAACTCCTCCACCGACCCCACCTTCAGCTTCTGGGTGTCCACCCGGTGCTTCTGGAGCTGCTGACGTATCTTCTGGACCTGACAACAGGAATGGAGACATCATGAGAATCTTTGGGTTCTGCCTCTAACATCAGCAGATTCAAGTGATGTCTCCTACTCAAACCATGTTATGGTTGATACATAATTTCTCAATAATATTGCATGATGACCCATAGTTGTGTCAGTTTTACTTGTTAAAAAATGGCCAGTCCCATTTTACAGATTTTGAAGGAACTTAAAAGGGAAAAAGTGTTGTTATGCGATTTTAATTGGACCATGCATAGACTCATTAGCCAGCCAAATTATATCTACATAATTCCAGCCTAGTTCGGCAAGGGTGGAAACTGGACTTTTATAGTCAGTTAACTCCCTTGCCTCGGGAAGATGCATATGGTGGGATACTTATCATTAGGTCATCATAAATTAATTGCTAGATTATCATCCACTTTTTTTTTAAAAAGTGGGGATGCTTTATATTTTTTATTTTCTATTAAAGTGGTCAAGTTGAAGACTGGACATCTTGGTAGGAATAATAGATGACTGAAATAACAAAGATAATAAATAAACGTTGATTTCAACAGTAGCAGTCAGATGTATCTGTGTCATTTTCGTTTTCCCTGCCCCAATTTGTACTTGTGCATTAATAAATTTATCCTCAATTGACGTTAACCAGTCAAGTTCCCCACAATCAAACTTGTTGAAGATTTCCATGAGTCATAGACTCTGGCAAAGGACAGGGATACCAGTCTTAATGGTCTGCACACCCTCTCGTATTTTCAAAAGAGCGAGCACCATCTTGACAGCCAACAGCAAGCAGACAATAGGCATGTTCGCACTGAGCGTCAGTTGTAGACCAGTTTACAGCATGTCGTAAACATGAAATGGCTGTTTGACAGCGGCGGTCGTTTCAATACTCTAAACGTTCTAAACACTCGAGCAAATACAATTAATTTGTCGGGGGAGGGTTTAGTCGTGAGTTTGGCGGGGATGATAATCTAGCAATTAAATTATTATGGCCTTAGGGTAAACTTTTGTTTAAACAGTAACTTTATAGTAAACTTAAAAATGGTTCAAGTATATCTACCATGTACACACATCTACATGAAGGTTTAAGTCAGTGTATATTTATTTACCCATGATAAACAACCATTCACAAAAAACAGTCACGTGTCACAAATCTTTCTTCCCACCTGCTTCCTGTAAGGGGAGATAATCCCTATCTCCTCCCCCTTGATCTGTTTTCCTCTGATCCTGGTGCTGAGGATCTGTTTGACGTAGTTGATGACCGTCACAGCTTCCTCCGGGTTGAAGAATGACGGACTGCGTTCCTCCCGCATGTCCTCGCCCATCACGGCGTGGAATATGACAGGGTAGTTGGCGATTGGTAGCTCTTCCCAATCACACATCAGATCCCTGATCTCGGGCGCGTGCACCCGCAGCTCGCTGTCATAGAACATCTCATTGGGCATCTGCAGGATAGCCTTGTGAGACCTGTAGTTGTTGAGCAGTTTCGTTAGGACCCGTTTGTCGTATGCATCTTCTGGCGTCCTGGCATCCTCTCGTCTGGCGTAGATTGGGTGTTGTGTCATGTAGCGTTCAAGCAAGGACATATCTAAAGAAAGTACACATCCCTATCAAATGTTGAGTGGTATATAAGTCAACACATCTAAAGAACAAAAAAGGTCTTGTTATTTATTGTGTTAATAATTTGGCTGGTAGAGATATGAGATTGAGTTATTATGCAGGATTAAATATTGCCAAGAAATATCGTGCTCAATACCTTGTAGTGTGTTAAAACAAAATAGAAAGGAGACTAAAACAACGATAAGAAATTTTTAGATGATTTTCTCTTTTGATCAAACCACTGATCGATAGCTGTTGTTGATGTGAGGCGACACCACAAAAAGTTCTCATGGATGAGTGAGTGTTTGTGTTAAGGACAACCAAAAAAACCACTATCACTATCCCCCGCCATGGGGCACAATAGAATTTTTAAATGTTTATTCATATAGTAGAGAACATAAACTATACAAAAGAGTCCAATAAAGCCTTAAGAAAAGTTAGGCACTAGGGCTGCTTTATGTCATTAGAAAAAAATGATTAAATGTGAAATTAATACACAAAAGGCCCCTTCTCTGGGAAAAATGTACTTTGTAAATTAACATGGATCAAGGGCTGTAACTGTATGCTCAAAATCTTAAAACACGTAGCAAGGGAAGTAATTTACAGGACCAATTTTCGAACAGTCTTGAAAAGTATCTCATAGATAAGCGTGCAAAGTTTCTTCTTGTAACTTCAGTAGTTTCTTCTGAGAAAACTTGTCACCATTGCACACAATATGCGCAAAGTCGAAAAACACGGGGAAGGGCCCTAACTCTGTCAAAAATTAATTGAGAACATCAATTTTCAAACTCATTTGAGATCATGACCAGTAACACAGGTGTACAAAATTTCATTTCTCTACCTCAAATAGTTTTTGAGAACACTTGTCAATGAACACTTGTTAATGTTATAGGCCCTGTTCCACAAAGTGATGTTTGCGCTAAGTTAATGTTATAGGCCTTGTTCCACAAAGTGATGTTTGCGCTAAGTTAATGTCATAGGCCCTGTTACACAAAGTGATGTTTGCGCTAAGTTAATGTCATAGGCCCTGTTACACAAAGTGATGTTTGCGCTAAGTTAATGTTGTAGGCCCTATTCCACAAAGTGATGTTTGCGCTAAGTTAATGTTGTAGGCCCTATTCCACAAAGTGATGTTTGCGCTAAGTTAATGTTATAGGCCCTGTTCCACAAAGTGATGTTTGCGCTAAGTTAATGTTATAGGCCCTGTTCCACAAAGTCATGTTTGCGCTAAGTTAATGTTATAGGCCCTATTCCACAAAGTCATGTTTGCGCTAAGTTAATGTTATAGGCCCTGTTCCACAAAGTGATGTTTGCGCTAAGTTAGTGTTATGGGCCCTGTTACACAAAGTGATGTTTGCGCTAAGTTAGTGTTATGGGCCCTGTTACACAAAGTGATGTTCGCGCTAAGTTAATGTTATAGGCCCTATTCCACAAAGTGATGTTTGCGCTAAGTTAGTGTTATGGGCCATGTTACACAAAGCGATGTTCACCATAAAATCATGACACAATATAGTGTAGCCACAAAGGTTTTATGTTTTTATTATTGTGTTCTGATTATTTTGTGGTACGATTACAAACTTGTGAACTGGCAATTCCGGCCATTGACTGGTTACCCCAGGGTGTGACCTCACCTAGACCATACTGCATGGCAAATGGCGACCTCAGAATTGGTCCCAGCTGTTTGGGATCTCCTGCCAGCACCAGCTGACCTCCGTTCCTGACAAGGGGGTTACAGTCAAGGATCCCGGCAATGGCGATGACACACTCAGGCTCCACGGCATAACCGGCCTCGTCGATGAAGACATGGGTGAAGTGGTCCGCAGGGAAATTGGCCGACGACAGTCTGGTGGGAATAGACAAGACATGGAGGATGACAGGACATCAATCGGAACATGTACTATTCCACATTGGCTAAAGGACCACACGTTTGAGTAAAGACCACACAATTGACTAAAGACATCTATTTTTGTCCTTATAAATTTTCTTACTCAACAATTACATGTATAATTTGAGGGATACACAATAAAAGGCAGGTTGACGAGAGAGGGACTGGTCATATGGCAAGAAAAAAGATGTTCCAAAGTTTATAAACGACACAATTTGATGTTAATTTTTCCCCCCCCCGTGAGACTGTATTCCAGAAATGACATAAACACTGCCTGGGTACTTTATCGGCATATCAAAGTGACTGCATAGGACTGGACCAGTCTGGTTACATTGTATGTAACAACAGCAGTCAGCCATTACACACTTATGCATGTTCAGTGTACTGACACTGATCAATATGTCAGGTACTTTCGGATTGTTATCTTGTTCTTCAGTTTAGATTATAGTTCCTTTATAGTGCTCAGTTAATATAAATGTATACTTGTGGATTGTAAATGCCACTGGCTTTCAGTAGTTACCATGTGCTCATGGTGTAGAGCTGTTTGTACTTTCATTAAGTAACATACCCCTCGACAACAAGCAATGAAAGTATAAGAATAGCATGTAGTATATATGGCAAAAAGATTATCAGCATGTAACTCTATTATGTTCATTTCTTTTTCCCAAAACTATTCCAGGGCCGGACGTACTTAACGCTAAGATGATCGTAACTCCCATACTTTAACATAGACACATGACAGTCGTAGTGCTATGATCGGTTTGTGGAATGGGGCGCAGGCCTTGGAAACTCAAACTTAAATTCCATGACTTTTCAGGATATCCCTGACCCATAGGAACCCTGACCCAGAGGAACCCTGACGCGTAGGAACCCTGACCCGTAGGAACCCTGACCCATAGGAACCCTGACCCAGAGGATCCCTGACCCAGAGGATCCCTGACCCAGAGGAACCCTGACCCAGAGGAACCCTGATCCATAGGAACCCTGACCCAGAGGAACCCTGACCAATAGGAACCCTGACCAGTAGGAACCCTGACTTAGTAGGAACCCTGACCGGTAGGAACCCTGACCGGTAGGAACCCTGACCCATAGGAACCCTGACCCGTAGAAACCCTGACCCATATGAACCCTGACCCGTAGGAACCCTGAGGCATAGGAATCCTGACCCGTAAGAACCCTGACCCATAGGAACCCTGACCCGTAGGAACCCTGACAGTGCTGGGTGAGGGGACTGACCTGCGGGCAGTGACCAGCGTGGACACAACGATCCTGTATGAACCCCCGAACCCTGAACCCATAGGAACCCTGACAGTGCTGGGTGAGGCGACTGACCTGCGGGCAGTGACCAGCGTGGACACAATGATCCTGTATGAACCCCGAACCCTGAACCCTGAACCATAGGAACCCTGACAGTGCTGGGTGAGGGGACTGACCTGCCGGCAGTGACCAGCGTGGACACAACGATCCTGTATGAACCCCGAACCCTGAACCCTGAACCATAGGAACCCTGACAGTGCTGGGTGAGGGGACTGACCTGCCGGCAGTGACCAGCGTGGACACAATGATCCTGTATGAACCCCGAACCCTGAACCCTGAACCATAGGAACCCTGACAGTGCTGGGTGAGGGGACTGACCTGCAGGCAGTGACCAGCGTGGACACAACGATCCTGTATGAACCCCCGAACCCTGAACCCATAGGAACCCTGACAGTGCTGGGTGAGGGGACTGACCTGCCGGCAGTGACCAGCGTGGACACAATGATCCTGTATGAACCCCGAACCCTGAACCCTGAACCATAGGAACCCTGACAGTGCTGGGTGAGGGGACTGACCTGCCGGCAGTGACCAGCGTGGACACAATGATCCTGCAGGACATGAGATCCTCCTTCTTGGGGTAGTAGTAGTGTCCAGTCTGGCGGTCGTAGTTGCACACATCCTGCCGGGACAACACAACAGTGACAAATCATCCCATCCACAACACACAGCCAGCAGAATCCTTTGATAGGCATTACTTTGACAGACAGATGACAAAGCAGACACAATTGATGGATAACAAAGGCTTGCTTGACAACGGTAAAAGGATCTATACTGAAGCGTTGCCTTTACAGTAAATAAAGAAGTTGTTATCCATAAATTGTGTCTTTGACACAGCTAGCCTTCCAATAGCAACATACAGGAGCACAACCACAAGTTAAATATGTGTCACTTGTCATGAATTTCCATTGAAATTTTATTGCTCTGCATATGTTTCAGTTGAATTCAACATTCAAATTTTTACTAATGTATATGTTTGAGGTGATTGGATAAGAGATTTAGTAATTGATAAAAAAGTCATTTATTACAAAGAGATACTGTGATTGTGACTGACTAGAAGCTATGGTTACCATACCTTGTGCCTTCAATTAACAAGCATATGCACTAATATTGAGATTCCTTGCTTGTGGGTTTCACCGAGATGGTAAACGTCTGGGACCTGCATCACTGAGGGCTTTCTTCCCACATTAAGCTGACACGCCGTGATGTAACTGGAATACTGTTCAAAGCGGCGCTAAATCCAACTCACTCAGTCATTAACACAGGGATTCACATAATTGCACTTACCAAGATAGAAAACAGCTAGAGTGTCACAGTTCAGGCAAAATGCGAGACATGATAACAGCAAGTACTTACATGAGGCCCGTGAAAATCCAGGTTAGAATAGGTCTTCAGCAACCCATGCTTGCCGTAAAAGATGACTAAGCTTGTCATAAGAGGTGACTAGCAGGATTGGGTGATCAGGCTCGCTGACTTGGTTGATGCATGTCATCGTATCCCAATTGTGTGGATCAATGCTCATGATGCCAATCACTGGATTGTCTGGTCCAGACTCGATTATTTACAAACCGCCGTAATATAGCTGGAATATTGCTGAGTGCAGCGTTAAACAACAAACAAACAAACTTACATGAACATGCTTCTACTCACCCTGATTTTCTCCGGGATCGTGACCCAGGCACGGTTGGTTGCATTAACTCGGAGTATTTCCGACTTGGACACATGATCTAAGAGGCGCTCGGTGATGAGGTCGGCGGCACTATTGGAGGGGGCACACGCCAGGATGTGGGATGATGTGATGTGTTTCCATATCTGTCACAGAACACAACATTTTATACTGACAATCACATGTTATATCAATCTTTACATGCTGTATGCACCAATAACTTCAGTGTTCACCAGCTCTAACATGTCTTCAGGCACTTCAGTAGGTCTTAGTGTCCACATAAAGGAAATAAAGACTTGGTAGGTGACCTTTTGACTGAATGATAATACACTAGAGCCACGCTTCAGACTCGTAGCTGAAGTTGCACACTGTTCCGTAAGTTATTGACAACTTCTCAACGTAAGTTCAAATAATTTTGTGTAAGTTAATCAAATATTTTGTGAATTGTGATGTAAAAAATATCTTTGACATGCATAATCAGTCACAAGCACTACATTAGGTTTTGTTTGTTTGTTTGTTTGTTGTTTAATGCTGCACTCAGCAATATTCTCGCTATATGACAGCGGTGTGTAAATAATCGAGTCTGAACCAGGCAATCCAGTGATTGACATCATGAACATTGATCCACACAATAGGGATCGATGACATGCATCAACCAAGTCAGCGAGCCTGACCACCCGATCCTGTTAGTCGCATCTTATGACAAGCAAGTCGCCTTTTACGGCAAGACCAATTCTACCCCGGATCTTCACGGGTCCATGACATGAGGAACAATAGATGCCAACAACCAGTGTCATTAATAAAGTTGTAACTGACCCATCTGAATGCATATCTTCTGTCATCATATCTAGAGACAGGCCTACACTATAACGATATAGAATATTTTAATGTGAAGTTTAAACAATATAAAACTTTTCCATTGGACGAGAGCTCGGTTACATGACAGCGAAATTGATGTTCATAGTATTTTGCACGAGACTGTGTTCTTGAAATGACGTAAACACTGACGGACTACTTCCACATTCTAAGGGGAACCCCTGGGAATTCCATGTACGAATACATACAGGAGCGTTGTTTTTGATCATTTAGACCCTTTAACCTTGAACTTAGCGATTTAGCATACATTGAGAAATATCAGAGTTTGAACTGATCAATGATGACCAACACATGTAACCGTCACAAGTTCATTAACAACCAAGAAATCTCTCCTGTCAAGGTTATCGTGTCGGCCATTTTGATGTCTTTTACTTGATGTAAATGTATTCCGAAATGCTGACATTCTGACTGACTTACTGAGGTAGTTCCTGACACACCTTTCTCATCAAATGATGACATTATTTGAATACATTTGTTGTAAACAAACTACAAACAGATGTTACTGTCTAGCAAGAATACATACGCTCACGTCACAACTCTTTTTTGAGGAATTATTTTATTCCACGATACGGCAATCAGTATAAACATAAGTCACCCCAGAAACTGAATAAAATTGTGGATAGATCTAGACCTACATCCCTCGAGGTAAAAATAGTGATATAAACATTTATAAGAACTGACTTTCACTTTGTGTGGGGACATTGGAGTGTAAACCTTCATAGAGTCAGGGCCAAACTGTGTGAACGTCGGAGTCTGTTTAAATATGAATCAAAGGTTTCAAACCTGTGTCAGTAGACTTAAATTGGTGAGTGTCAAGCACATCACAGTGAGTGCTTATGTTTTTATGTTGCTTTTAGCAATATTCCGTCAATATCACGGCGGGGGACACCAGAAATGGGTTTCACATATTGCACCCATGTGGGGTATCGAACCCGGGTCTTCGGGGGGACAAGGGAACGCTTTTACCACTAGGCTCCCCCACCGCCCCCATGCTCAACATAGGACCTAACCAAATGTTTTTCATGTTTCAAGGACTACTTATATTTCAGCATTGCCACATAAACAGAGCGTGGACATGTTGACTTGCCTGTTTCATTGCCTCCACAATGGTGAATGTTTTGCCTGTCCCCGGGGGTCCAAACACCAGGTAGGGGGCAGGTCGGGATGACCCCGCCACGATGTGCTTCACTGCCATCTGCTGCTGCAGGTTGAGGGACGGGTTATGGGCAAAGAACCTGCGTTACCATGGTAACAACACTTTAGACAACTCAACCATTGTTAACATATGCATGATGTTGGATTGATTGAAACAAATTAGTGAATGAAGTAGACATGCTATTTCTGTGTTGAATCAAGGGCATGGGTAGCCAAATCATCTAGGGTGCTGCATATGCTATACAGAGTTGCGTCCCTTAGGTATGCCAGAAACCTATGATAGTGGGTCTGAGTCCCAGCCCTGAATGTTTCTTGCTTTGTCAACAACATGTTCATTCTCATGGGTCTCATCAAAGAGGTAAGGGACCTGCATTACTTCGGGCTTTCCTCCTCGTCATGATATAAATAGAATAGGGCTCAAAACATTGTTCCAACAAACTCGCTCACTTGTGTCAACTCACTGCATCATGAAGCAGGTTCTAGTACTAATCATATTCACTGACGGTGAGATAGTTGTGTAATGTCATAATCACAGCCAAGTGTATTACATATTCTGACTCAAAGAATGATTGTAAAGTATATAGTGTGTGCCGCAATCCAATTGGTTGAAAAACACTCATGAACGGAATTTGAAACCCAGAAATCTTTTTCACCAATCACAGCCAACCATAGTGAATGTGATAGGTAACAAATTTCTCATTTGTGCAAAGCATGATAAATACCAGATTCAATTTTATTCACACTTAAAGATCCCCTCCCCTCCCCTTCCCTTCATTTGATTTGTGGATCATTCTGGAAATATTCAGGGATGAGAATGGATATTTTCCGTTTCAGCTGAAATGTGGTCCATAATTTGGGATGGGGGGGGAGGGGGGGGGGAGGGGGTTTATAGGGGGTTCATCAGAATTTAAAAAAATTGTGTTCACTAAAATTTGCCATCCGCAGAAGATTCTCATCCCTGGTATTGCCATTCTCACAACAGAAAGATCTCTAGTGGGAATCAGTATTGGATGACTAACCAGTCAATCAGTCATAGCCCCAATAAACTAAAGAACTTTACAATCATTATATTATCATATTATAATTATACATTTATATACCCCAGGTATCCAGGTACTCGTATCTGCTCAAATGCGGTTTTATTTGTTCCCCGACCAGGGATTACAGTTATCATTCTCAACTCCCTGGGGAGTATACAACCCGAGCTGCCTAGAGGCTCTTGAATGTTTTTATATCTTACAACTGCACGTCTATCATCTCAAAAAACATTTTGGTTTCCGGAGGCGTGTTGTGATGCACTCACTTGAAGTCTTTGTCCAGGGGCCGCATCAAGCCCAGACTTCCGATGAGGTCGGACTTGGGGAAGAGCAGGTTGTCCAGACTTAGCTCCTCCGCCAACTCACAGGCTCGGTGCTGCAGACGCAGGGGCAGCCGGTTGAACACAAACCGCACGCTGAACTTCATGTTGGGAACAAAGAATTTCATCAAACTGCAAGGAAAAGGAAAACTCATCATGTTCCACACAGTCTTATGAATTAAACTGTGGGTTCATTCATTCATTCACTTGTGTATTCATTGATTAATTTGTTGGCTGGGGATTGGAGGGGTTTAGATAACTGACCCTCTTCTCCGTGTTTTGTTTATCTGTATATAGTGGCCAATACAAACCAACATATTCCATCTGTGATGTCTGATGTCACATCTGACAATTATTATCATTCATTATTAGTATTTATCAATCTCAATTTGGACCCATTGAACAATTGATGATATAAGCTAGTACTACAATTGGCAACTTCAGCCACTAATCCATACCTATGGTCTAGTCAAATTCTGTTTAGTCAAGTCCGCTCAGCTAAATTTGGGTCATGTTGTAAAATCTACAATAAATGACACCAAGAGATAATTTCTAGCTGGTAGAATCAGATATTTTTTGCACCTACATGTATCTGTACATACGATCTTGGTTACACGTACCTGTCACTGAATCCCAGTGCGACCTCGTTCTGCAACACTTCATGGACATACCCCTGGTACTCATGGTCTCCGGCCACGCCCTCACTGTCCAGTATCCGCACGTACAGACAGTCCCCCTTCAGGACGGATGGGCGGTTCTCGGCTAGACCCGGCACCTGGCCACGAAACAAGTGTGTCAGCCATATACAAACAAGCACAACATCTTTGAGAAAGTCAGCCATATACAAACAAGCACAACATCTTTGAAAAAGTCACCCATATACAAACAAGCACAACATCTTGAGAATGTTCGCCATTCATAAACCTATAATTGATATAGACCATTGTTTTGGACGGTACTTGTTATTAAGTAATAACCTCTTGGGAGGTTTTACTTTTTCCTGGTAAGACCTGGCATGAGGTTTTACTTTTTCCTGGTAAGACCTTATCCTTGGTATGGGGTTTTACTTTTTCCTGGTAAGACTTGGTATGAGGTTTTACTTTTTCCTGGTAAGACCTGGCATGAGGTTTTACTTTTTCCTGGTAAGACCTGGCATGAGGTTTTACTTTTCCTAGTAAGACCTTATCCTGGGTATGGGGTTTTACTTTTTCCTGGTAAGACTTGGCATGAGGTTTTACTTTTTCCTGGTAAGACCTTATCCTTGGTATGAGGTTTTACTTTTTCCTGGTAAGACTTGGTATGAGGTTTTACTTTTTCCTGGTAAGACCTGGCATGAGGTTTTACTTTTTCCTGGTAAGACCTGGCATGAGGTTTTACTTTTCCTAGTAAGACCTTATCCTGGGTATGGGGTTTTACTTTTTCCTGGTAAGACTTGGCATGAGGTTTTACTTTTTCCTGGTAAGACTTGGCATGAGGTTTTACTTTTTCCTGGTAAGACTTGGCATGAGGTTTTACTTTTTCCTGGTAAGACCTGGCATGAGGTTTTACTTTTTCCTGGTAAGACCTTATCCTGGGTATGGGGTTTTACTTTTTCCTGGTAAGACCTGGCATGAGGTTTTACTTTTTCCTGGTAAGACTTGGCATGAGGTTTTACTTTTACCTGGTAAGACCTGATGAGTTTTGGGTATACGACTTGGTGTTTCAAACGTTTAGTGTTCTAAAATTGAAGAGTAGAATTTAAACGTTTTGATTATGGTTGATGGGAATCGAACCTGCAACCTCACACATTGTGTTACATTTTGTAACCCATGGTTTTCCACTCAATCTCATTAAAATCAGATCTTAGTTCTCGCTATCGCTAAAGACCCGTGAATATTCCGGGATAGAATAGGTCTTCAGCAACCCATGCTTGCCGTAAATGGTGACTATGCTTGTCGTAAAAGGTGACTAACAGGATCGGGTGGTCAGGCTTGCTGACTTGGTTGATGCATGTCATCGAGTCCCAATGGCGTGGATCGATGCTCATGATATCAATCACTGGATTGTCTGGTCCAGACTCGATTATTTACAGACCGCCGTCATATAGCTGGAATATTGCTGAGTGCGGCGTTAAACAACAAACCAACCAATGCTATCGCTAAACAAAGATCTGAGGACATCCCATTACAGGTCACGTTAGAACGACCTTTCATCTGACCAATCAAAGCGTCGCTTACCAGATCATGAAAGTGACAGTCGGAATGTGTTTTCTAATCATGCAACCTCGAAAATGTTAACAGTGTATTCCGAACGACAGTTACGGCCCGAATCGCCTATCTCTCGCTTCCGTGGGATAAACATTTGAACGGAGGAGGCGTTGCACACTATGTGGGACGCCCTGCCATACAATCTCAACTATATACATAAGAACACGGATATAACGAACACGGATATAGCGAACAAACGGATACAACGAACTGTTAAAAAATCCCCGATTGCAGTCAGTGAAACGAGGCCAAAGTAAAATCACAGACTACACATCTCGTATGTAAATTGAAAAATGATGAATATGTTTAAATTTTGTACATGTATTTGATAACAATCTTCAGAAAATGTTATGAATTTAATGTTATTAAATGAATGTTGTAAATTGATATCAATTGAATCATCACTGCCAATACAATTCAATGCCGCAGTTACGTGTGTATTGTGTTTTGTCTTATCCAAGATGGCGGACATTTCCAAGCGAAAACGTGTATAACGAACTGATTTCTCTGGTCCCTAATAGTTAGTTATATCCGTGTTCTACTGTTTTAGACATTCAGGAATGTTCGTTTGTTCAGTTTTCAAAATTTTAATCGAGAACTGTGTATATATATTTTTCAAGCGTAGTCTGTAATGGAAGTCGCCAGGTTGAAACGAGTGCCGTAAAGCTCGAGAAAGCTGCTTTCTTATTGGCTGATGTCGACTTCTTGTTAGTCATTTCAGTGGTCGGTCACAATTCGCAAAAGGTAGTTCTGACGTGACCCGTAATGGGATGTCCTCAAATCTTTGTTGAGCGGCAGCGAGAACTTAGATCTGATTTTAATGAGATTGTTTTCCACTTAGCCATCGGGGAAGGTGATGAAAGGTTGTTCAATCTTACTCGTCACAACTTCAGTTTATGTTCATGCATGTTGTCTTTCTCTCACATGCTTTCATCGAATTCCTTTTATACCTCAACATACTGTATTGTTTCACTATAAGGTATCGCAATGTTTTCTTATTTTTTCTGGTATTTCTTGCTGTCGGATAAAACACTCATTTTGGTTAAAAATTAAAACCTCTAGCTTGGGAAATGCCATCAGGCTTTTTCCTCGATCACGGTTTCAACCAAAACTTCAGAGTCGTGTTTTATCCTTAAAATACAAACAAGCACAACATCTTTGACAGTGTGAATCATTAATGAAACAGTCAAGAGCAAATCTTAGTATGTCTGTCTGCACCTTTAGATCAGGAGAAATTGTGAGTGCTAGTTATTAACGCTATATCTCGACCATATCACTGAAGAAGCATAACCTAGTCTTATATGAGGCAGCCGATGTGCACACACTGATCCACAAAACGTCGATAGAATGACATGTCCATAAGACACTGTTAAAATTATGGACATTACAGTCTTTTCCCAAATATCTGGCAAAGGAACTTGAAACAATCTGTCAGGTTTTCCCCTTTTTTTTCACAGCAAGAGCCGGCACAGGGTTTTAAAGAATACACTACCTTGAGCAAGAGCAGGCGAGGGTTATTAGAATATTTGGTCATAGATGAGTCTGGGATGTCGTACTGTCGAATGTCCACCTCCATCTGAATCTCTTCAAAATACATCAGTGTTGTCAGTCGGCGGGCATACTCCGACATCATCATCGACTGATCCAGCATCGTCCTGACGGCAATGTTACAATGTTACAGAATTGCAATGGTCCTTTCGAAAAAGATTTCTTGAGCAGATTCAAATAAAATCAGACTCGAAAACACCCCAGTATAATATTTCTCATTTAATTACTTTTACAAAAATGTATAAATTCTTAACAAAAATTCTGACATATATTTCTTAAATATTCTAAGTTAAAGAATACCCAATTCTTTCAGTTTTCTATAATTAATCTGTCATGCCATGAAATATTAACTATAGTATTATGAAAAAATCAGGTGTTCTGTAACTTATTTTGAGTAGTAATTTTGTCTCAATAGTTAAACACCCCTGACTACAGTAGACTTAAGCCGTAAGCCTAGTGGTTAAAGCATTCGCTCATCATGCCGAAGACCTAGGTTTCATTCCCGACATGGGTACAATGTGTGAAGCCCATTTCTGGTGTCACCCGCCGTGAAATAGGCTTCACACAATGTACCCATGTTGGGAATGGAACCCGGGTCTTTGGCATGACAAGCGAACGCTTTAACCACTAGGCTACCCAACCGCCCCACGTCACAAGAAGAAGTGTGTATGTGCTGTTTGTTTCTGTGTACATACTTGAGGGTCGTCATCTCTATCACTTCGAATGTTTTCAGACCCTGTTTGTCCGTGAGGCCGTTGTTGATGATTCTTCTCAGACTGTCAGGAATTCGGTAGAGACCAAGTGGTATCTTAACCTCGAGACGGTCATTCCCCACCCTGGAAAACACACATACAATAATCGTCGTCAACCTTGGACAAGTTGACTTCTTAAAACTGTTTCAAACATTGGTTTACATTATGCCAACCCTATAAAAATGAAAGTGAGTATATTTTTCAGAAAGCACTGTGTTTCATTCCACCCAATACAAAATAAATGTCCAAACTAAACTGGCAAGAAAAAACAAACTGGCATAACCAACATATTCAGATAATGTTTTGAATAAATTTTTTTTTAAAGATTTCAAGAGTCGTACTTATTCAGTTTTTTATCACCCATCAACTAGAATACTTCACGCCAAAAGTTTAAAACAGGTGTTCATTGATGAATCCATGTTATAAACATTTTTTGTATATTTACGTGAACTTTGCTTTTGTTCATTTTGACCTCCAACTCGGTCATGCCTATCAGTGCCTTGCTTTGGAGGACACACTCCATCAACTAAATAGTTAAAACAAGAGCCTAAATATCAGTTTCTTAATATTTGTGTGCAATCAGTCACTCGTTGACTTAGTTGAATTGTTGCTCACAATATCAATCACTGAATTGTCTGGTCCAGACTCTCACCATGCTCTATTATTTACAGGCTGATGTCATATGTTCCACAGCCGGAATACTGCTGAGTGCGACATTAAACAAAGAACTACATCTTATACCTGGGCAGTGGCAGGCCATCCACAACTTTAGAAACCCGAGCGTGCTTCCTTGTCTTCGGTCTCTTGTCCATCTTTGTTCCCTGTGTTGGTTTCATCTGCTCGATGATGTCATTCCGGCACTTGGCGTGGAGATACCGCACAATGTGGAACATCACATGACTGTCATGGCTCAAGCAGAACAGCAGCGCCAGGGGGGAGTGGAAGCTCCCGACATTACGAGCTTGTACCTTGATTTTTATGTGATATGATTCCCCTGCAACACAAAAGGAACAGGCAAATTACAGCCAGTTGTCAGTGTTCCCGCGGGCTTGTGAAACTGACAGTCCTGGTGGACTGGCAACTCTAAAAACTACCAGCCCCCCTTAATATTTGTCAGTCCCAACTTTCAACAAATAAAAAAATGTATGAAAAATACCTGGTTTTAATTTCTTCAATATCATGTTCAATGCAATGATGTCATCTCTGCTGTAACTTAGTTAGATCTACACGTCATTCACACAAAGTTCAGTCACAATTTTCTCTTTTTTTAAAGAATCTTTTGGTCACTACAAATATATATTTAACCTTGAAGCAAGGCAAAATGTTATTTCCTTGCACTAAAAATAAACAAGGGCAAATCCTGATGGTGACAGAAAAGCAGACTTTGTTCTAAAAAGATTCTAATATGAATATCGCCAATGTTTTGTTCAACCTTAAAGATTTTTCAAATTAAAGTTCCCCTATTTGCCGGTCAACAGGCAGTTTATTTACAGTGTTTAAAATTAAGGGGGTTCCTTGAGGTTTGTTCCTGGTGCTATAGTCATGATAGTATTTGAATTTAGGGCTCCCTAAATCTCTGACTTTGAGTCATGACAATAAGTCTCAAATACAAATATTTGTATCAGAATGCACAACATACATAATGTACATGGTCCATACTGCGTAAAAAAGTTGCATTATATCAGAAAAAAAACAAAAGTGACTCATGGTCTAAGATGCAACATCTCATTGTGGGTTATCTCCCTTAGCTGTGTCAGGACCAAGCTCCTTTCCAGCGAATGACACCTACGTAACACTTCTTGGTAACATCGCTGCCACCAGGCTATTACAAAAAGCTTGAAATTTGCCCTCTCACCCCAAATGTGGTAATGTTTATACCCTTGGGAATGCTATAGTGTATTTTGAAAAGGCTTACAACTGACCATATTTCACAGATGAATTTTCCTTTTTATTTGTTTAGATTGGTTTGAGATTACAGACGAACAGAATATCACCCAACTTCCCCCTTACATTCTTACTATACCAATTACATGATAGTTGAAATGAAATAAAAATTCAAATCAACACACAAAGAAAATATTTAGCTGGGGTAAGAGTTTTCGGCATCACCGTCATCACTTGTTTGTGAACATAATGGTCAGTCAATTGCAAGTTCAACTCCAAGCATGGTTGTGACCACCTATCACAGCGGGGAGCTTTGACTGGTTGCAGCGATAGTATAGAGAGCTCTGCGTATGTGACATCGCTGTGAGGAGCTTGTGTCAGTACCTGATCACCTATAGGAAGGGCGAGCACGGTTTCTCAAAGCTCATGGCCCCCGTTTCAGAACGGAGTTCTCCTATGTCTTAGGACCGACTGACCCATGTGCTGATGGTCCAAGATAATAATGGCTGTTTGTCTGCTATCAAGGTAAACATCTATTACCTGTGTCATTTTGATTTTTTTTTGAGTTAACACATGATAAAGCTGATATGTAATGATAATTATGACTGAGATACTGTTTATACTAAAGTGATGTAAAACCCAACTCAATCACCATGCTCACTGGAAATTTGCTCAAACAACATACCGCATTCGACGTAATAAGCGCCAAGGGCCCTCTCAAAATTAGAAATTGGGGGCTCTTATTACAAAATTATTTCGGTGAAAAAAAAAAGTTGAAAGATCGGAAATTTCGTGGTTTATTCTGACAGCCTGAAATGTTTATATACGACAGATATATTTTTCCAGAGTTTAATTGCCCATAATTAAGGGTGCATATAACACACAAGTGCCTATTATACACAAATAAATAAGTCTTGTGTACATTGCTCAAACGGAAAGGGTGCAAATTGGGATTGTTCAAAAGCCAATACATTAGCAAATATCGCTGTGGGCGCTTACTAGAGCGGGGCGCCTATTACGTGGAAAACGGTATAGTTACTTGACATGCTCAACCTACCAGGAGGGATCGTGGCATGGCCCTGGGATTCCGTCACCTTCTTGGCATCATCCAGCTGGAACACACGAATCCGTTTCAGCAGTTCACAACTGAGCAGCGTCACGCTGTGTCTAGTGTTGGTATTATGGATAGTCAGTGTCACAGACTCCGACACACCCTCCATTAGCGGAATCACAAATGTCTCCCCTTCCCCCGTCACTGTCGCTGATAACTGGATTCCAAACTTGTCTTTGATGAGGTCATCTCTGAAATGAAAAAAACAAACAAAAACAGTTGAAGATTTGAAGATTGATTTGGTAAATTCTCAAACATCATGTTAGAATAAGTAAATGACTGATCTTGCTGATAACAGGTTTCTTCAGTTAAATCATTTCCAAAATATTGAAATGCCTATCTCTGCATGTTCTGCTTGGATGTACTGAAAAGATTTGGGATGCTTGTTTTGAATGTTTGTACACCATGTGTGCTGTCGGTCATGTATGGACATAGAACAACCAAGTCTAATACATTACATTGTATCTGCCGTATTTATAGTAGCCAAGTAGTGCCAAGTAGCCTGGGCACTTAGAAAATTGACATTTGGGGCACTTATCAAAATTATAAACAATTAGTTTAACTTTATTTTCAGAGATTGAGAGGTAGAAAAATAAACAGTTCAAACATTGAAGAAACTAATACATGTGCATTGTACATGTTGTATGTAAGTAAACATGGTATATATATTTAAGTGGTATTTTATTTATTTATTTTATCCAAAAGGATGATTTGAGATAAATATGACATATCATAAAAAAATATGCATCAATGATTTTATAACTAATGTTCTCTGAACAGTTTATGGTTATCATTCAGTGTTGACGTGGTCAAGTCAGGAGCATGACACATTGACAGGCAAATTTCGGAATAAATTTACTTTATGAAAACCCTTCTCCAGCTAACTATATTCCACATAATCAGCATTAGAAAGAAATCTGCATGAGAAATGAAAAATTAAAAAATTATTGGAGAGTACCTGATTGTGTAAAAACAGTTTTCATAGAATACTTGTCATTCAATCAATGTTGATATACAACCCGTGCAGCTCCGGGGTAGAATAGGTCTTCAGCAACCCATGCTTGTCGAAAAAGAGGCGAGTAATAGGATCAGACTCACTGACTTGGTTGATGCATGTCATTGTATCCCAATTGTGTGGATGGATGCTCATGAAATAATTCACTGGATTGTCTGGTCCAGACTGGATTATCTACAAGTGTGTGGCTTTAAACAACAACAAAAAAAAAAAATGACATACCTCTTTGTCCGCAAACCATTCATGAGGACTGCGACTCTATGCCTGCGACCATCTACATGCTTGGTAACTTCAGCTTCTGACGTACATGGAGCGGCACACAGTGTACACCGGAATATATGTCCGCTCTTCTGAACAAACTCGGGCAAACAATCCGCCTTGGGAACATTTTTGGACATGGTTTGTTCTGCTATTGGTGCTTTGTTGAAATGTCTGTGTTGGTCTACAGCAAACTTTCTCTGAAACCTTATGTTCCCCCGAACAGAGTTAAGATTGGCTGCGTGCATATTGTGAACAGGATTTGAAAATGCCTCTTCTCTGACATCTAGCGAAACAATGCTGTCATCACTATCACTATCAACATCATCAACACTGCGGTCTTTGCCACTGCTATGGGGGGCTGGTCCATTATAGAATTTGTCAGCTCGAACATGGAGAGTTTTTGTGATATATAATGGTTGTAAAATACTGCTGAAGCTTGGTATATGCTCTCCTGGTGTTAACTGAGAGAGGTAGTTTTTGTATCGCGTGTTGTACATGTTACGAACCTCTTTCTTGTGCATGCCATGAATGGTTATGTTTTCAGTTTTGAGAAACCGAATGAAATCTTCCCCTCTCTGTTGTCGTTCTTTGAAGGAGAATTTCCCCATATTTGAAGCTTTCTCTTCTGCTACCTAGCTTCTATATGTCTCTAGAAAAGGCCCCTGTAACAAAAACAAACTGACATGTATAGCTGATCATGTTCGTAGGACATCCGAATACTGCTTTCTGTATTTACATGTTTTTGTGTCCATAAATTCTCGTTTACTTTCTGTTGGTTAAATATTTATACAGTATATAGAAGAGCAACTACACGCCACGGGATCCGTAATGTTTTCTATCCTTATTCGTCGCTGTTTACCCTCAACACTGAATTATGGGTTCCATGTTACGAAACCATATGAATTTGAATGGATTCATAATTTTAAGTCATACGCCTGTATCTGTGAGTGGCTGTGTAAATTGATACGAAGACTGTACATTTTTAAGATAAAGTCAATGTCACGTGATTTTAGTCATACTTATTATCAATTAACTGTTGTTGGTTGTGTAACAATACACAAACGATCAAAATCGAGCATGTGGTCGTTGCCTTTCACTGGAGTCGTTTCCCTGATCGCATCAAAATTAAAGTTCGATCGGTAAGTTTATGACAAGTAAGTGTTCAATTTATGAGGTATATTTACATCTTTGAGTCAGAGAAATGTGTAGGCTCCTCTTCCTGTGCCTCAGCTGACGTACTGTTCTTTCGTTGATTGTGCAACCGAACTTGTCAAACGGGGAAATCCCGTTGATTCCACGCCACCTAGCGGTGAAAACCAGTTTCGGTTTACCAATCTGGTTTGGGTTTCATAGACTTGCTACAGTTCGCCAGAGACCATATATAATGTTCCCTGGTTTTGCGGAGAAACTGAGTTAAAAAAAAATCGTGAAATGGCGGAATATGTTGCCCATTGACTCACTGTTGTCACAATTACAGTAAAGCTATGGCAAGGAAAGAAAAACTACGACGGTGTAAGAGTATGGGAGTTACGATCCATCGTTGCGCTAAGATCGCTTTGTAGAATTGGGGCCTGTGTGAAGGGTCTACAAGAATATAAAGCAGCGATTAGCCAACAAATTGCATGGTGATCAACACTCCCTCAGACACAATCTAACCATGTCGTTTCATCAGAATATCTCAAAATTCATTCAAGAAATGTCCATGACGCTTTTGGCATGTATCACAATAGCATTTTTGCGTAACCTTACTTACTTTGGAGTTTTAACGTGCGCTTTCCGACTGATACGTATTTCGCACACGGGCCCGGCCAGGCCATTTAATGTGTTTCCGAAAGGGGCGAAAGTGGTCTGTGCAACCCAAGAGGGAGGTTTTAGGGGTTGCTTATATAGAATTTGGGAATTTTGAGATTTGGAATAGATGCCGATGGGATTGGGGAGGAGAACTAAGGGAGCTGGGTATGGTGGACGTTTGTTTGTTTATGTGATTTTGATTTGGTAGGTTATTGTGTTTTTAGATGCGTTTTATTAGTTTTCTAGTTTATTTTGTGGGTTTAGTATTGCTTCTACAGTTAGAGCCTTGTTTAGATTGAGGGTGGTTTGTAATGCAGTTCGATGTGTTAGGTAGTGTGTGCAGTGGATGAGTGCGCGTTCTGGGGTTTCTGGTTGTTTGCAGTTTGGGCAGTTACCTGTAGTGTGTTTTTTAATTTTTTTTAGGTGGTTATTTAGGTTGGTGTGTCCTGTTTGGAGTTTAGTGATTACTCTGTCGATTTTTTTGGATGGATGGAGAATTTTTGGTTTGGTTAGTGGTTTGCTGAGCACTTTTTTGATTTGGCTATTTGAGTTTAGATATAGGTTATGCCATTTTTTTGTGATTTTTTGCTTGTTTACACTTTTAATTTCTGATTTTGAGATGGGTAAGTTTAAGCTTATTTCTGGGATTTTGAGGGATAGTTTAGCTGCTTTATCGGCGTTTTCATTACCGTATATTCCTACGTGGGCGGGTATCCACAAGAAGGTTATTTGTTTGCCTGCCTTAGTTAGGTCGTTGGAGCTTTTAAGTATTTGATTTATTAATTTAGGTCGGTTTTTGGTATTATTTTTTTTGGAGGGCTTGCAGTCAACTTAGGGAGTCGGTAAGTATTAGGATTTTTTGTGTGTTTTTTTTATTCTTGATTATTGAGGGCTGAGGCCATGCCCATTAGTTCTGACGTGAATATTGATTGGTTGTTTGGGAGTCGGAAGGATTGTGTGGTTTTAGTTGGTTGTGTGGTATGGACTCCGAAACCTGTGTGTTTGGAGGTCGGATCTGAGGATCCGTCCGTGTAAATGTGACACCAATTTGGCCAATTTTCGTGTATGTATGCTAGTGTGGTAGTTTTAGCTATGTTTGGGTCGGTTTGTTTATTTATTTGGCTAGCTAGTGTTGTGTCTATTTTGGGTATTTTAAGTTTAGGGGTGAAGATATTTGATTGTTTGCAGTTTTGTTTAAGATTATTAATTTGGTGTTCATTTAGGTAGTTTGTTATTCTTTGGGATATTGGGGTAAGTAAGGGGTGTTTACGAGCTAGAGCTTGTTTTTTTGGGCTGATGTTTTGGTTTATTAAGTTTTGGATGAGAGGGTTTGATTGGGACGCGGCCCAGAAATTTAAGCTTAGCTGTTCCCTGCGTAGATTTAGTGGCATTTCTCCTGTTAAGGCCTGAAGTGAGGTGTAGGAGGTGCCATGTTGGGTGCGTGTAATTAGTTTGAGAGCCTGATATTGTATTGAGTCAAGTTTTTTAGATAGAGAGTTGTTTAGGGTGTTGTATATGGCGCAGCCGTAGTCTAGTTTTGATCTAATTAGTGATATGTAGAGAGAGAGGAGGGTATCTTTGGATGCTCCCCAGTTAGAGCCAGTTAGGCATCTTAGGGTGTTTAGGTCTTTACTGCATTTAGTTGTTAGGTTTTGGATGTGAGCATCCCAGGTGAGATGTTCATCGAAAATAAGTCCTAAGAATTTGGTTTGTTTTTGAAATTTGATTGTTTGATTGTTTAGCTGGAGGATTGGGGAGGCGGGTTTCATGTTTTTATGTTTGAATACTATTCCTGTTGTTTTTTCTGAGTTAAGGGAGAAGCCCCATTTGTCAGCCCATTGTTGTATTTTATTAAGAGATTTTTGGAGTAAATTTTGGACCATGTTCATGCTTTTAGTGCGGATCCAGATGGCTCCATCATCCGCGAATTTTGATGTGTTTACTTTAGGGGATAGGCCCTCGAATAGATCGTTTATCATTATATTGAAGAGGGTGGGGCTGAGGATACTGCCCTGTGGAGTACCATTTTCTAGGGGACATTGGTCCGATAGAGTTTGGTCTATACCCACGGTTATTTTACGATTGTTAAGGAAGTCCTGGATGTAGTTTATTATCTGACCTTTGAGTCCTAATTTTTTAAGTTTTTGTATTAGCCCATCGTGCCATACCATGTCGAAAGCTTTAGAGAAGTCTAAGAAGATGCCTGTGGTATATTGTTTATTTAGTTGTCCTGTCTTAATATCTTGTTCTAGTCGGGCGAGGTTATCTAGGGTTGAGCGGCCAGGAGTGAAACCGCTTTGATCAGGGTTTATGATGTTATTTTGGGTTAAGTAATGTTGTAATCTATTTTTAGCCATTGATTCCATTACTTTACATAAGTTTGAAGTTAGGGATATTGGTCTATATGAGTTAGCTTGATTAGCTGGTTTATTAGGTTTAGGGATTGGTATGACTAGGGCCTGTTTCCAGGGAGTAGGAACCTGTCCGTTTAGGTAGATGAGATTGTATAGTTTTAGTAGTGCCTGGAGTAGTTTTAGGGGGAGTTTTTTAATTATTTGGTAAGAAGTTAGGTCTAATCCTGGGGCTGTGCCCTTTTTCCTGTTTTGGATTACGTAGAGGAGCTCCTCCATTGTGTAGGGTTGATTTATTTCTAGATTGTTATTGTTTGGTTCTTTTGTGGGTTTGTTTTCTGTTTTAAGTTTATCTTGGATTTTTTTACTGAAGTTGGTGTTACTGCTAACGGCCGAAAAGTGGTTGGCGAGATTATTTGCTTTTTGGGCGGGGTTGGTTGAGTTGTCAATGTTAGTTTTTTTTTACGTCGTTTTAAGCCTCTGATGGCGTGGATTTTGCGCCAGACCATTCTGGCATCTGTACGGTTATTTATACCTTCGCAGAATTTTAGTGTAACCACACAATCCTCCCATTTTGAGATCATATTGAAATTCACAGAACAACAATCGACAATGTCTTTCAAGTTAAAATTCCATTAATCCCTTAGAGAACCTGGTTAGAATAGGCCTCTTGCAATTTATTGCTTGTGGCAAGAGCCGACTTAATGGCTGGGGTTCTCAGACTCGGTGATTTGGTTCATTGAAGTCATTGTGTCCGATAGCGTAGGACGTCACTTATACTACTAATCACCTTTCTCTGAGCGATAGGGTAGCACAGTGGTTAAAGCGTTTGTTCCTCACGCCGAAGACCTGTGTTCGTATTCCCCGCTATAACACTCATCATTCGATTGCATCTTTGCTGCCCAACAGATTTATGTACATGTACCATATAATGATTTTGTAGTTGTATTTTCTTCACAAAACGTCAATTTCTCATAAAACACCCACAGGTATAGCGTCATATATCACTGAAACAGAAATCATATGTGTGTAACCATACACGTAAATGCTTATTTGTTAAACCAAATTCCATTGAGGGAATGGTGTTTTAAGCCGCGCAAGAATTATCACGTCGGTCTGTTGACAATAATAAGCGGCCGATCGTAACAAAAATTTAAGATCGCGTACTTAGTGAGTTACAATCAACTTAGCCCTAAGATCGCTTTGTGGAACGGGGCCCTGGGACAGCCAGCCAGTGTTGTCATCACGAACAACGTCCAGCGACGTCATGCAGAGCGCGATGGCACTCAATGAATCAGGTCCCAAATAAATACAGTATTTCTTCTCATACCCAACATGTGACCGCCAGGATTTCTCATTCACATGCAGGGACGGTCGGGTAGCCCAGTGGTTAAAGCGTTCGCTCTCACGCCACAGTCCCGGGTCAGATTCCCGACATGGGTACAATGTGTGAAGCCCATTTCTGGTGTCCCCCGCCGTGATATTGCTGGAATATTGCTAAAAGCGGCGTAAAATCATACTCATTCACCCACTCTCATTCACATGCACGTGGACACTTGCAACAACCGTAATTTAAATTCCATTCTGATACTCACTCCGGAGAGTTGTAGGTCGGTGGTTCGTTCACGCCCGCGTTATACCCAAAGACGTTAAAATATTGTACTTGTTGTTATCCTGCCTGGCGCTCGTCACCGAAGGGATAAAACAAAATTTGGTCTGCTTGGAGGCGCCGCTAATCGCTGTGCAGTGTTGCGTCCCTTGGACACGCCAGAAACCTATGATTGTGGGTTCGAATCCCGGTTCGCCCCGATTATATTTCTATGTTTGTCAGCACCATACCCGTGCTCGTTGGTTTCAACGAAGTGGTAAACGTCTGAGACCTGCATCAATTCGGGTTTTCCTCCTACATTGAACTGACACGCTGCGACTCACTCACTATCCCAGTGGGCTTTGTCAGTGCAATAATCTTGAACGTGACCTCATGTTACACTTTCATCCCTGTTTGTTTGTTGTTTAACGCCGCAGTCAGCAATTTACCAGCTATATGACGGCGGTCAGGTAAATAAGAGAGTCTGGACCCGACAATCCAGTGATTGACATCATGAGCATCGATCTATGCAATTGAGATACGATGATATATCAGTCGCCTCTCATAT